CTATACAGATCCCTGAATAATTAATAATAATAATAATAATAATGTACAGCAATGGCTTACAACCCTGGATGGGTCTTTGCTGACTTCACAATAACCTCCCATTTCTGTCGGTCGGCCATCAGATCAAACGGTTTATCTATATGCAATGCTCTTAGGTCTTTGACAATATTGTCTTTCCACTGAAGCCGTCGACGTCCCAGTGGTCTCTTCAGAACCGGTGCTTCTTGGGACGCGGGTTGGACTCTGGGACTACATGGTAGTCTCCTTACATGTCCCGCCCACTGCAGTCGCTTAGATTTTATTTCTCGTACAATATTATTACCTCCGTATACTTCTTCCAATTCTTTATTGGTACGCATTTTGTATCGTCCTGTGGTTGGATTAATTATAGGGCCATATATCATTCTAAGTACTCGCCTTTCAAACACTCGCAGGCGTTCTTCATCTGCTACAGTTAACGTCCAGGCTTCGCAACCATACATCACTACAGGTCTTATTATTGTCTTATATATTATGATTTTGGTACGCCTCGATGTTCGCTTGGATTTTATCAGGTCTTCTACTGCACAGAGGCACCTATTACCGGCCTGGATTCTGCAATTAATTTCTGCTGTTCCGTCAGTGTTTGCTATTAACATCCTTCCCAGATATTTGAATTTTTTTGTGATGTTTTGGCATACTCCGTCTTCGTGTTGGTTATTTCTAGCGCAATACATAATTATGTATAATTATTTTTTCTCCGTTAATTTCAAGCGCAATGCTCCTCGCGTATTTTTCGAAACCATTACACACACAAAATAAATGTGGGACTATTATAATGTTCTATTGCCCTTCGGGATTGGAATTTCGGCGTATACTTTACTCGAGACCTTCAATTGTGTGAACATTTCTGGAAAGTCGATTCCAATTTTCTCTTTACTCTTGGAAAAAGATAACGAAGGTAAACGAATTATGACACCACATTCACTAGATTCACTGCCCCAGAACCATCATCAGAAACTCTTCCGACACTTTTGATGTTGATATTTACAAAATGTTATTAAAAATATTAAAATATCTAATCGCTAAGTTTTGTTATACTTTTTGCGACAATATATAACGACAAGCGACTCTATGAATCGGATTTCTGAGATTGCTTGTTCGCGTATCGGCAAGCAACCCCTTTTAGCGTGACAAGAAATTTTAAATATTTACAGTTCAGAAACCGCGCACATGCACGTGCACAAAGCACCGTTTATGCATTACTTATATGCGTGCGAAATGTGTTTGATAAAAACATACTATCCACTAGATAGGGCTTCTTAAACTTTTTAATATAGCGACCCCCTTCAAACTTAGGAAATTTTAAACGACCCCCTCCTCCATATAATGAAATATATATTAACCATAGATGTAGATGTAATATCGCACTATTTTACAATGTAAATAAAATAAAGATTAAAGAATACGTACCCATTCATTTCACATATATATAATTGGAAACGTTGACGGGATATCGGTCGTAATAAAACACAATAAATAGAATGACATAAAACTATATACATATATAGTTATTCAATAGAAAAAATAAACTTTTGTAACAATTTTTTATAAGAAAACATAAAACTATATATATCCAATAGAAAAAATAAACTTTTGTAACAATTTTTGTAATAAAAACATATTATTAACATCAAACAATATTAATGTGACGGATGTGATTGTTTATTTTTACACAAATAATTAAATCTAGGCTCAATTTGAGTTAGTGCAGATCGTAATAAATTTTCAACGTTTATTAAAGTTGAACGGTATTTTGATTTTATGTAAATTAATGTGGAAAAGGCTGATTCACATAAATATGTTGTACAAAATGGCAGTAATTTGTTCATTGCCATTTCCGATAGTAGGGGATATTCTGATTTGATTTCTATCCAAAATTCATGCACAGGCACTTGAGAAAATCTGAGTCGCAAGGTAGTATCACTTGTTAATTCGGCAAATTCTTCTTGTGCTTTTAAGTTTAAAAAATTAATTTCTTCCATGTCAATTGAAAATGGATTGCAAATCCATTGTTGTGTATCGATATCATTGGGAAAATACCTATGCATGTAAACTTCCATATCCTTCAAATGATTTTATTTTATTATAATTTTATAATTTTTGTTATAGGAGTATCTTTTTTTGAAATATTGTTACTAATTATATACTCGTCAGTAAATGGAAACATTTCGAGCGATCCACTTTCCACTCTGTTCTTCCATATAAGAATTTTTTTAACAAAGGCCTCAAGTTTATTTTTTAACATAAACATATTAACGCAGACTCCCTGCATTGATAAATTCATATCATTGATTTTATCAAAAATATCTGCCAAATAGCATAGCTTGAGAAGCCATAAATTATCGTGAAAATAATCGGCCAAATTAGAATTTTGCTCTGTTAGAAATATGACAACTTCATCTTTTAAAGTTAATAATCGTTTCAAACTTCGACCTCTTGATAACTTCAGCATGTAGCAATAAACTTGTATAATCCGAATCCATATCGATGCACAAATTTTTAAACAATCGACTATTAAGTGCTCGACTTTTGATAAAGTTAATGATTTTGACTGCATCAAAAAACACAGTGTTTAATTCTGGTGCAATTTTTTTAACAACAAGTGCCTCTCGGTGAATCATACAATGCGTAAATGTAATATGATCATTTCCAGCTTTAACAAATGCTGTAAAACCAAGATCTTGTCCGGTCATTGCTACAGCACCGTCCGTGCACACACCAACACAATTTTTCAAATTTAATCCTTCTTTTTCAAAAAACTCATTTACTTTTTTATATATATCTTTTCCACGAGTATGACCTTCCAGAGGACGACAAAACAGTATATCTTCATGAATGCTTCCCTCATAAATATATCTTACAAAAAGTAACAACTGTGCCATTTTTGAAATGTCTGTCGACTCGTCCAGTTGTATTGCAAACTTTGAGCTGTCTTTAAGCCTCATAAGAAGCTGTTGAAATTGATCATTGCTAATTTCTGAAATTCTTTTGGACACAGTGTCATTTGATAATGGAATTTTACCAATTTCAGCAGCATACTGTTTTCCGTGAACAATTTCAGACATTCTTATAGCTGCAGGTAGTAAAAGTTGCTCTCCAATAGTAAATGGCTTTTTCGTTTTTGCTATCAAATACGAAACTTCATACGATGCCAATAGATATTTATCATTCAAAGTAACATACTTCTCCAAAGTGTTCTTTTCTTTATTTGATGTTTGCAAAAGACGCTCAAAATATTCTATTGGCTTTTTTGATAACGTTACATGTTTAATATTCAAATGTCGTTGCAGTTTTGACGGTTTCGTGCTTTCTGCAGCCAAAACTTCTTTGCAAATTAAGCACACTGGTTGTTCTTCATTGTTGTGAGAAGAGCATGTGAAGCCATACTGCAAATATGATTCGTCATATTTTCTTTTTTTTTGTTTTTCTAGAAGTCGGATTTGAAGCACTGCAACTTGGTTTGTGACGGCGTGGCAGACTTATTAGTTGGAATTTTAATTAGCCATTTATCCATGATGGTTAAATAATAATAAATAATTAAACAAAATGTAGTTGAACTTTAACGTAATAATTAAAAACACCAACTGAAAATTACACAGTAAATACACACATGTTACTACGAAGACAAAGCCGAGTCCAAACTAAAGTACAAACAGAAAAATAACTACACTCGAAACTTTACCCCCCTGGGGGTCGCGACCCACAGTTTAAGAAGCCCTGCGACTAGAAGATTTGAAACTCAGGGTGTTTGCTGAATAACCTTCGTCATGGACGTTACTATATAATTATAGTTATTATTTTAGAATACATAGCTGCGGACAATATAGTGTCCGTAAGGATGATGCGATGCTAAACTCAACGCGAAATGATCCGTTACTAAAAATATTCTGCATCTGGTCAAACGACTAATAGTTTATAAGATATTGTTAATTGGGTTACCCTGTAAATTTTTGTGTCATTAAAAAGACCTTAAAATAAAAGATTTGAGTTTTCGACAACCATTGCAGGAACCACTGGCAAAAGTCTTTTGGTACTATGCGGTTTGCATTTTTTTTAAAGTTCTTCCAATATTAGTTTTTACTAGTCCTCTCGGTGTATTTTACCTTTCGTTTTGAGGTTGTAGGATTATTTCGAAAGGATTCTAAAACTACCTTTTTTTGTAACACTCTGTGTGATGTACAGTTTTATGTCCTTTTCTTTTCGAAACGTCTACTGTTATTAATTGCCTTTAAAAAAAAATTATCCCATTTATTTAATATTTGACAATTATCAGTACACGCCTATTTTCTTGGGGTCGCGCCGTCCAAAACTTACTCATTCAAACTAATAAAAACACTGTAGTTCAAATAGCAAAATAACAAGCATGCTGAAAGAATAATTGATTCAAATAAGTTTTTTACAATACAATTTTTCTGTTGATAATTATTAAACTGTTAGTTTTAAAAACATTACACTTACGCCAATAAATTCTACGTAAACAGGTGCCGCGTAATTTTTTTTATAGAAACCGAAAATTATGCATAGTAGAAAAAATACATCACATTGTGTTAAGGTCTAAAAGTATGCACGCATAAAAATAACTTACTAATACGCAACCAACATTACGCAATTCTGATATGATATACCAGTCCACAAAATGATCTAGAAATACTTTCATCTTTGATTTCCTATTCACTTAAGCACCTTTTTTGGAAAGAAAGGTAGGCCGTCCAATTCAATTATTGAAACTTCGGTTTCTCTGGGGACAGCTCAACAATGGCTGACGGGTGACGAATTGCAAGCACGTGGACTGATCCCACGGATAAGAAATGACCGAAGAAACATTTATTTTATTTGCACTTATATGGGACAAGACAGTGACAAACGGACGTCAATTGTCGCATATAATAAAAATATAAATTTGATTGAACGGTCAATATTTGTTAAAAATTGAGCAGCATCCATTTTTTCTTTTGCAGCTCACGCCCAAACATGACAACAGAAGATAACGGCAATATTGGAGCAATTCTGAAACCTACTTCCAGCAGCAATGAGGACCTGAGTGAATACACTGACGCCGACGAAAGTATTTCCGCGCCGACCGAATTTTTAGCTGAAGTAGGGCAATCTACAAACTAATTATTTTAAATATTCGATCTAGAGCGCTTGTGAACTCTGTGTATCACAATAAACTCGATCTATATTGAAATGGCACTGGCATCATAGAAATGTGCGACAACTTTTACAATGGAAAAAGATTGTTAGTAAGGGGGATTCTTGTCTTTGTCTTGCTAATTTATATTTATTTATTTATATGGATATTTCTTACTGAAATCATTTACATATTTGATCATCTGTAAATTTTTGTAAAAAATAAAATTTATAGTAATCGAACTGAAAGTAACCAAAACTCCGAAAAGGCGGATACAAATTACTATACTTCATTCCAATTCAAAATTTTAAGTCTTTTCTACAGTTTCAAAAAATGTGTAGTATCCATTTTTTAGGAGTAACATTCCGACTTAAAATATTAATACACATTTAACTAAATACATACACTTAAAAAAAATAATGCTTGACATTCCAAATCACAATCGAATTAACAATTTTTTTGTATAAGTTAATGAATGATTACTAACTTAAAAACCACAATCATAACATGCAATACTTCGAAAATAAAATAAACCTTCTTTTGTCGGATATATACACTTTTGCAACTACATCCAAGACAAGAATTTACCATTTGCAATTTGCATACACAGACAGATTGGTGGAGTACAGCTGAAAGGAGAATAATAAAAAATAATCTCTTATTACATTTATCTCTAGTATAAGTTTTAGTAATAAGTAGTAAATAAGTATTAGTATAACCGTATTACAAAGAAAAGGGTAAACATTATTTACCGACTTGGCGTTTAATCTGTAAAATGTTATTCCGTTTTTCTAAAGAGATAACTAAATCTATTTAGTATATAATGGAAATAACATTCTAATTGTGGATATTTTCAGTTTCTATCGGCAGTTATGTTAAAGGACTACGTGACAGCACTGAAGTATTGCAAATTAAGTGAGTAACTTTGCCTGATTAGTGATTCAAGCACGAGTTTTGCATTACCAACCAGCAAGTTGTGATAAACTAAATAATAATATAACAATAAATAACAGAACACTATTACAAGAGAACAACAGTGAAAAATCTGGCGTTTTTTTTTGTTTATATACTTAATAAACCCAAATTTCTTAACTTAGATATGTAAACAACAAATAAACGTTATCCAAATTAATAATTTACCATTTCCAAGTTAAAAGATTATGGCGCCAATTTTAAATCTGGCACTTTTATTCGTTCAAATTAATAACATTCAAATAAACGTTCGTATCTACAATTGGCATTTGTGTATGGCACCATAAATATGTGTTGAATGACATTAACCCCGACCGTTGAATAGAAACGCCTCTCGGCTCAGCCCCAATAAAATTCAGCGGCAGCAAACGAATATAAAAGGAAATGCAAATTATTACTCACCTTTATTGTCGACCACTGCAGCAGTCGCTCGAATGAAAGTCTTTATTCGCCGAATATATTTTTATCCGGCATTTGACAGCTAAAGAGCACCCATTTCCATTTTAAAATGTACGATTCGATCCTACAGGGAAGAATATTTATTTTCTTTCTTTATTAGTGGAAGATTATATTCCGCAAACGCAATCATTTTTTGATGTCTAATAAAATTTTTAGTTTTGCAGTACGAGCCAAACAATGCTACCGCCAAGGAATTTTATCCACTTATTTTGGAGAAACTTAAACATCGTAAGTATCGCTGGTTGATATAGATGCAATTTTCAAGAAAAAGCGTTACTGGGGTAGCGTAAATCTGGTGTTAGATTTGGGGGTTTGTATCAGATCAAGGTTAGAATATTTGCTAAATATATTATTAATTATATAAGGATATAAAAAATTTGGAAATGCAACCTAAGATAATATATAATAAAATATAAAAAATTCTCTTTTCACACAGACGATTTTTTTTATTAAATAATTATGAGGTATTGCTACCTTTCCTTTCCTTTGCTTATTAATTTGTAGGTAAGGACTTTGTTGTAAATATGAACAATACTTATTAACCGTTTATGTATGTATGCTAATTAATATTTCACATTATGACTTTTTTAGAATATTTTTAATTTTTGTCTCCACTTATGATTTTACTGGCGTAAATTTCAAGAAAATAGATAACCCTATACAGGGTGTCCCGAAATTAGACGTCAATATTTTAACCACGTATTCTGTGACCCAAAATAAGGATAAAAGTTCATATAAACTAGGGTCCAAAACGTCTTAGTTTTTAACGTACATCGTGTTAAATTTGAAGAGATGATGGCAATTTTTTGTAAATATTTTCGAAACACGTCAATATTTTAAAATAAAATTTAGTAAAGTTACTAAGCTTTTTAGGCCCTATTTAAAGAACTAAAACTTAGTATTGGATTATCTTCAGGGTTGTGTAACACATTGGAGGCGTGGGAAAAATTTGCTCCAAATTTTTTGTTAGTAGAATTTTCGTAATTTGGACTGCAGAATTTGAAAATCTGAAGTTTTCTAAATAAGGTACCCTTGTGGCACCTCGCTAGACCATTTTCCTCAAAAATGCTTTTGAAAATTTAATTACAATTTTTTTTTTTAATTTTAATGTCTACAATCGAGGTGCAGATAATTAGTAAGCCTTGGAACTTAATGACGCGTTTCATTTTTTTGTGTTGCTGGGTAAATAAAAATTAAATGTCATTTATTTGACAGCTTTCAATTTTGTTCATTGTTTGTAAAAAACAGTTGTTAATTGGATTGTTCTCTTGTCATCTTCATTAAATTAAGTGCGTCTTCCAAATTATAGTTTCCTTGCGGTCTTCCCTGTCCACGATTACTTTCAAGTGATTCACGCTCAACAAAATGCCTATGTGTATTAATAAAAACGATTAGGAAATCTTCTACGAAACTCTTGTACCGCCTCCTCAGCTTTGTCATTGCACCCCTGAAGACAATCCAATACTAAATTTTAGTTCGTTAAATAGAGCTAAAAAAGTTTAGTAACTGTACCAAATTTTATTAAAAAAAATATTTTCTTGTTTCGAAAATATTTGCAAAAAATCGGCATCACCTCTTCAAATTTAATTGTTTGTTAAAAACTAAAACGTTTTGGACCCTAGTTTATATGAACTTTTATCCTTATTTTGGGTCGCAGAATACGTGGTTAAAATATTGACGTCTAATTTCGGGACACCCTGTATATGTAACACATTGTTTTTTCAATATTGATAATTGTTGTTCGTTTAAAAAAATGTTTTTAATAATTGTTTTTTACGTCGTCATAGTTAACTTAAATTAATAATGCTGCTAATGAATATAGTTTTATTACATAGTCTTGGAGCTTGATTTTTTTTAAGAAAATCTGTGTCTAAAAAATAAAGATGATGAAAACCAATTCAATTCAATTCAAATGCTCGTAAAGCGAAAATAACAAGTTTTTGTGCATTTGTCATAATTTTCAGAAATAAATTCGAATACGGAGGAAGCGAGTAGCAACGATAGCGAAGACGAGGAGAGTGAAGTAAAATCCAGCGCGTCGTCCGCCTCGGAAAGCAGCGTCCAAGACGAAAGCAGCGAAGGTCAGGAGGCAAGTAGCTACTTAATTATTAGAAATTACGTTTTTACAATTACACCAATGTCTAAAAAGAGGAACGTACAGACGGACACTGTTAATAATATCCAAAAACATATACAAAAAAAGCAACGAATCAATGTAATAAAAACAATAACAACATAAATTGTTTTATTTTCTACTCTCTTCTCTAATCTTTTTTATTTTTAATTTGGGCAGATCCTATTTTAATATTATTCCCAGAATTTATAAAATAGGTGCTGTTTTGTTTATTTGTTTCTGAACCGCTGATTTTAATTTGAGAAAATATTTAATAATAATAATAATCATTTATTGTCTAACAGATTCTACATCCATTTACAACACAATCTGACAAGCATATAATACATCATTTAAATACAATATTAGACAAAATGCATAAGCAAATTAAAGAGCTCACACTTGTACTCGTACCTTAGTGCCTATGTGCCTATGCGTGATACAATATCAATTGCCTAAACAAAATATTTTGTTTTGAGAATGTTTGATAACGATTATAGGAGAGGTTGAAAATATCAATATCACTACAACGGTCAGTGAAAAGATACATAGCATTGTATAAGGGGGTTTTTATAAGGAAATTTGTAGATGGGGTAGGTGGAAAATCGGCGAACTGCGGACAGATCTTTGAGGAACATAGAGAGGTAATTGCATTAAGAGCCCCGAGCAGTCAATCCTGGATAGAACAATTTTGCAGAGAAAGATAACTGCTAGATAGTTTCTTCGCCATTTTAAAAACGGGAGTTCAAATCTTTCCAAAAGTAATGACTGTTCAGTACCCCGCGCCGGAAACACTCCGTCAGTTTTAAATGCCAATTGGTCTATATATTTAGCGTGAATGGGGAACCAGATTGTCGCACAGTACTCAAGCTGGGATCTGACATAGCTAAAAAACAATTCTTTGAGAGCCTGAACATTCCGAAACTCTTTAGCGTTACGAAATATAAAGCCCATCGATCTTGTTGCATCTTTGCAAATGGTTTCAATATGAGAGGTAAAGGACAGTTTAGTGTCGTACAAAATTCCAAGGTCTTTGAAAGAGGTGCATCTGGTAATTGGAGTAGTTTCCAGGCTGTAGTTAAAACTATTGGGCGCTGTCTGTTAGAAAACGTCATCACAGAACACTTATCCGGATTGAGATGAAGATTGTTTGCCACACACCAGTTATTCAACGACTCCAGGTCCCTCAGCAATGCTGTACAGTCGGCAATGTGCACCACAATCCTAAACAGCTTCAGGTCATCGGCAAACAATAGGGCGCAGCTAGTTATGCAGTCGGCTATGTCGTTAACGAATAATAGGAAGATCGGTGGCGCCAGATTACTGCCCTGAGGTGCCCAGCTTGTGGCTATAAACCTCGAAGAGCGGTATCCATGAATCTCTACATACTGATATCTATCCTGTACATATGAAGCAAAAAAGTCTACCAGTTTATTGCTGATTCCCATTGCCTCAATCTTCTTCAGGAAGATAGCGTGGTCAACTCGGTCGAATGCTTTAGAAAAATCTGTGTATAGTACATCAACTTGAGATTTATTCTCTAGGGCCTTTCCAATATACTGAGTAAGACATGTTAGATTGCTGGCAGTGCAGTACTTCTATTGGTAAAGAATCCGTGTTGTTTTTGGGTAATGACATGCTTTGCTTCACTTGTCCATAGATGCACTCGTACACAGAAGACTCAAAAATCTTAGCGAAGACCGATAGGATGTAAATGGGTCTGTAATTAGTAATATCGTTTACACAGTCCCTCTTGAATACAGGAGTCATTCTCGCCTCTTTCCATACTCTAGGGAAGGTGCTTGACTTGAGACAGAGGTTATATATCTAAGCGATAGGTCTAAGGAAAGCATTAATACAATCTTTGGCAACCAAGGATGGTCCCCCATCTGGGTAGCCTTATTTTTTAACTTCTTTGCTGCTCTTAAAATAGCTTCATCCGAGAGATAGCTTATGCTAATACAGGAATTGAGGTTTGTTTTGTTCACAGAGATGTTCTCAGTGGTTGGTGCCATATAGACATCTCCAAAAAATGTGGCAAATGCATTAACAATATCCTGTGGGTCCGAGTTATTGCACACCCTCATTGGACATAACCTCAGGCAACGGCGTCGAGGAGCGCTTTGCATTAAATAGCTTTCTCCATTTTACTTTTAAAGCTTGACTTCACTTTAAAGCTTGAAAGACTTGCATAAAATGCGGTTCGAAAATCAATAATCAAAGACATCCTCTTAAATTCCAAAGTCTTTTTTGTGAATAAACGTAGTACAATCGTGCAAAAATTACAAAAATAAAATTTTATTTCAAAGCACTTTCTTAAGCAGAACCTCAAATTAGAGCGATATATAGAAGGTTCCATTTAAATGTAGCAGAAACAGCAGCACTGGTCTGTTTTCCTATACTTCTAGCAAGCCATTAGCTATGACCCACCCGATATTTGTGTTAAAATATTAAAACATGGTAACTCGCTTCAGTGGTGCTTACAAATGTATTGACGCAAAATAAAATACAGCTTTCCTTTATATTAAATTTGTTCAGGAAGCCGAAGAGGAAGAGGACGAGGAAGAAGTGGAACAGGGTAAACGATCGAAGGGTTCTTCGGACGGCGACGCGACCACGGGAAGTTATTCGAGTTTGGAAGACGACGAGGCCGAAACTATCGATCAATTAGCCGCCCTGGCTGCGAAGTATCAAAACGACAACATCAATCTAGGCAACGGCAACAAAATTTGTAAGTAACGTTTATAAATTGTCGAAAAGGGACCCTTTCTTACGATATATTTTTGTTTGCTTCTTTTAGATTTACGGTCGTTTCAATAGCATTTATTTGAAATGCAAAACTACACCAGTCGCGCGTTTCAAAAACAATTGCTCGTAAACGAACTGGGCTGTCTGCAAAAAAACTAAACGAAATGTTCTATGCAGAACAAAAATAAATATAAATAAAAAAATCAATGGACTCGCTCAATTAGGAGCATCGATCACCGAATTAAAGAATTTAAAAATGAGCTTCAGTTGCCTTCTGCGAGAACAATACCATATCGTCATAACTCAATTCAAAAATATTCATTCGAAATAAATTTTTCCCGCATTTTTTGGTACTCCTATGATGAACTGCATAGTTGGACAACTGTACCTCAATACTTCTCTTATTTATGAATTTTAAAATTTAAAATTAGAATAAAAAACTGTTTTCAAAATGTGGGTGTGAATATGTGGTTCCAAAATTTCAGTTATGAGTATGATGTAAAAAGAGGTCTTAATCTTCCGCAAAAAGGTAGCAAGGTCGCATTAAGATACAAAAACAATCCTGGTCCCATATAAACATTTTTTTGTAATTTTTTGTATTTCTCCCCTTTTCATCGTTTCAATTCGACTATTAATAAACAGTTTGCCTGCAATTATATGCATATTTTCACGCTACATTCCGCTAATTCATATCCAAATAGTTTATAGTTCTGACAGGGCCTTTCATATAATGTTACCAGAGATTCCGAGATTATCCGTTCAAATTTCTTGTGCGAAATCGCGTAATACCGGATTAACAACAGAAACGCTTTCTGTTTAAGAGTTAAACGACCGTAACGGTTAGATAAGTATATGACATGGCAATGCCTGGCACTAATGTCTGGCGGTTCAGTGGTGCGGCACAAACACGACCGCAAAAATTAAATCGCACCAAAGCGAGGGTGATATACGATGGCGCAATTTTCGGGATGCGTTCCAATCGACAAATAAAAAAAATTCAAACCGCACCGATCAATGTTTAAATGGCAAATTTTACAATAAAAAAAGACGACTAGTATTGTTACTGATATAATACTGTAATCATTTACATATAATGTATGATGATCATATTTCCTTTAAATATTTAAAAATGCAAATACTTATAAATTCAGAATATTTAGTTCTTTGGTAAAATTTTAAAAAATAGATTGGTCAGAAAATAGCAGTATGTACTTTGTCACAAGCATTAATTTTATTTATTTATTTTTTGATGCAAAAAAAGGGAAAAAAATATCTTTCATATATTTTTGTGAGTAAATTACTGCATACTGATTTATTTTTTATTTCTAAATAATTCGCACAAATATATATCAAAATCCAATTAACCAGTTTTGTTATTATATGAAAACACTTGATTTTTATGATTTATTTATAAAATAAAACGATTTATTTATAAAATAAAATTAGATCATGCAATATTTTAGTAATGCGCAATGTGCTTTATTTATCCAAGAACTTAAACTTTCGTTTGCTCGAGGAACACATTACTCCAGCTAGTGCAACACTAGAAATTACAATTTTTAAAAATGTTTATTAATTAACCGTCGCTATCAAAATATATCCCGACCACATACAAGATTAAAAGATTTAAACTATTTCACAAAGTACCTGTTAACAAATATATTATTTACCCCTAAAAGACCCAAATAGGTAAAACATGTATGACAAAGAAAAGAATTCGTTCATCCGGGGACTATTCAGCGTCTCATGAATTCCACGAAAGGGTTTTCCCAGTTTGGGGAAATACATAGCATATAGTCACTAGGTGCTAAGTCTATACAATGGGGCAAACATTTTGAGGCGTCGATTATGATTGTAATAAGGGTGCGACTACATAGTAAAAAGAATAACTCCTTCGGCATCCCACTGAAGCCTATCGGGAGTAGAAGATAATCAAAGGTAATGAGCTACGCCAAGTAACCAGTATCGAAGTTATGGAGTCTCGTCAGGACAGGCGGATTCCCAAGGAACTATGAGCATGAGCCTCCCGCAAATATCATCACACAAGACTTTCAAAAGAGTGATGAACTATTCTACATCCATCCCATGCTCTGCCCATTTAACTCAGAATGGTGCTGATGAACCTAGGTTTCATGACGGCCAAACTCATGTTCTGTTCAACTCAACTCAACCGATTGACACAAGTGATTTTGATTTGATATGATCCGTCTGTCTGGCTATTTCAGCGACTAGATCATCGTTTTCTCTACAAACAACAGTTATCGGCTGTCCAGCACTACCAGCTTGTTCTCGGGTGTCTCTGTCAAGTAAAAAAAAAAGAAAAACCTGGTATAAAATGCAGATTCGCACAGTACATGTACCATTCCGTGTGAATTTTTTGCACAATAACACCTTAGAGGAACTAATCGGCTTTGTAACTGAATAACGCTAGATAACATATACCAAACATAATTCGTGGATTTATGACAAAGAATTGAGTACTGACTTACATTAATTACAATCAACATCTTGTAAAGCATACTTCTTCTACTTACTGATAATTCTAGCAAACAAACCAAGACCTAACCAAATCAATACTGCTGCAATCAAAAAATATTTGAAATTTATGTTGTGGTAAATTCGGCATAACCTTTTTTTTATAATGACCATACACTGAGAAAATTTCTACATTTCTACAAACTTTTTTTGTAAAGAAACTACATTATAACTTTTATTTTGTATTAACTTAGTTACCTGACTACTTTTAAAAAAGCTAATAAACCATATGGAAAAGACTAGTTTGCAAATAATGAAAAAATATACGTAATCAAAATCAGAATTTGTTTTGTGTTTTGCTTGCAGACTCGACAAGCAACCTTCTAGTCCCGACGGTTGTGAACAAACAAAAAGTTGACAACCACCCCGTTTGTAAACAAAACGACAATTTCCAAGCGAACAACATACAGTTTGTGGCCAGCTCGGATTCTGAATCGCCCACCGAACCCATAAGTCAACAAACCATTGCCTTGCTCAGGGCTAAGGTCGTGCCAAACAAAATCTAATCTAAATGTACGTCGAATGCGTAAAAATTCATTTTTGATAAATGAAACGCTGCGGGTGAAATGTGTACGCAGAAAGGCGTCAAATTAAAAGACAAATAAAGGCAATTTAATATTTAATTAATGTTTTATGAAATGCAGCTTTGGTTTATTTAAAAAACCGTGCGCTTTAAAAATTTACTGAAATATAAGTGTCCTACTTTTTGTGTGAGGAATTTCAAAGCTACAATTTAATTAAAAAGCTGCCGAATGCAGAAGTTAACCAAAAACGAAGTATTTGTCATATGGTAAAGAATTTTTTCCTAAACGTGAAGGTGTTGTGTGTCATTTTTTATTCTACCATTGCAACCTCGTAGCTGATATATTTGGTAGCTGGATTCGCCAAGACGCAAATAATCCTACCATTTTCCTTAATTCAATCTCCATTTTATAGTTTAAATTCCGTTCCATAAAGGTTACAATTGTGTTTGGCAGAAACGTTGGAAAGTTGTGCTTAAGGCTCACGTACAAGGATTAAAACATTAATTATTTAGAAAACGCCACTCAAGCATTTTCAGGCATATTAGGTAATACTTTCACCGCGATTATTAAACTTCAGTTCAATATCACTTATAGGGATTCCTGTCCTACATGACGTTTAAGACTGCGTTGATCAGAAATCTATAAAAATATAGAATAGTGAAAATGTTTTAGGAAAATATTAAACCTTTATCATGAAAAATGTATCGTTACCTATTGTATTTGAAGAACAAATTTTTGTCTTCTCCCTTATAAATGCCTAATTGTATTACTACTTCTACTAATGTAACTACTTAGTACGTGTTAGGCTCTAATTCAAGAAATTACAGAATATCTAAAATGTTTCAAGTATTGAAAGTGTCTTAGCGTTCAACAGAGAGAAATATTTTATATCCATTACCGTTGTGCAAAAAGAAAACGTATCTTTTGATGGACGTGTCGGTGAATATATTTTTGTATTTTTTGTAAGTAGTTTAGAACAGCTTCTGGACGTAGATGTCATCGACCAAAAAGTAGCAGCTACCTACACTTTATTGTATTTAATTTAAAGGTCCTACAGAAGTAGAATCAATTTTAAGTATCTTTTTTGTGGTATGAAGGGTGTGCACTTTTTATTCCGGCAAAAAATGCTGGACGACTGTAATATGGTTTTCTCTCCAAAACCTTCCAATTTAGTGTTAAAAGACTGAATGTTTTATAGAACAGATGATTTTTTCCACCAACATATCTCGCGAGTCGTTGTCGAATTTAAATGTGTTTCCAAATGGACTTTTAGAGACCACCAATTATTGTCGTATATTCCTTATTCACGACCTTTTGACGATTTCGGAGAGTATCCAGGTGCTAACAGTATAAATCATTGAAAACCCCTTTCCTTTTTAAGTTTAAAGTTTGTACTTTAGACATGCCAAATTCTTATCTACTACTGCTACTACTACTACTGCTATTGATTGTTTACGAAGGTGCACAAATGTATTTGTCGCGTATAATAATTACCTATTAAACCCAAACATTTGTTGTTATGTAAAGCACCTGCCAATATGATCCTACATTTAATATTTTTGCCAAAGAACTTCAATAATGTATACAATTTTCATATAATTGAATTCACTAAAAAAATTTTTGGGCATATTGTAAAAAACAATACGCCCAAAAATTTTAATATACCACAACGTCACTGGCAAACTGAATTCTCTGCATTGAAATTTCGTCAAAAGTGAGCGAACAGTTTACCGCTATGTCAACTTTATCCTTATGATGTATACTGTTAGTGTTGTAGAACATGGTATGTAAGTAATTTGAGCGAGTGCAACATTATTAGTTCTACGGTGTAACTAGCTGTCTCAATACTGGATTTTACTAAACTTTTGCATGTGTAGATAATGTAGTGTAAAATAAAATAATCAAAATATTTATTGATAGAGGCCTTAAGACGTGGATTAAGAATGTAAATCTGCGATTTATACATTTTTAAATGTCATGCCAGTTTGAAAATAAAATAAAATACTCACAATAATAGGAGGATTGACTTCTCTTGTTGACAGCAATTGAAAGGTTTTATTTCAGAGCTCAAAGGTTGGTACTTATTGCTTTAACCCACTATATTACACGCAAATAAATAATGTAAATACGAAAAGCAAAACGAATGAATAGAGAAACGCGGCCTTGATCATTGTAAATATTGACGAGATTATAACAATAAAGCATATCATTAATATCGCTGTAATCATTTCTGCAAAGCTCAAATGAAGGAAATAAAACTCCCACTCACAGTAAGTATAACAATCTGTTTTATTTAATATTAAAAATATTAATATAAATACTTTCCACGTAAAATTCAATTGTGTTGGTGTCGATAATTGCAAAAAAAAATTACAGATAACTCGACTTCTATACAAAACCGGTCTTAACACCACTTTTGCAAAAAAATGCAAGCAGTTTATATTAGTGTTAAAATCGGCAAACAAGTCCGCTAAAACTGTCGTCAGCATTTACAAACTAAAATCTTAGTCAAATATTTAACAATAAAAATAATGTGCGAACCACGCAATTGCACTGCATCTATTAGCTGCCATTTTGAACATGTAAGGATAACAAATAAGCTTTTTCATCAAGAAATGAGGGAATGGTGCAGTTATGGTATTTTGTACTGTGTTTTGAACTGTTGATTTATGGTTTGTAGAAGTAGTCTAGGTATACAAATAAAAGTTTTCTTTTTAAACAAATTCCTTTTGTTATTTTCCATTCCGAAGATTAAGAAAATATATCATTTTATTAAAATATTGCTTTAAATATTATCTAAGATGGTTTTCATATTTGAGATTGCCAAAGTTTTTAGTCCCCAACATTTAGAATTTGAACCACATACTAAGTTGGTATAATATAAAAATCAATAGAAAATTTAGTAGTGTCAGTCGAAAAATGTCTTCTATCTAAAATGTGAAATATAATATTTCTTTTGCATTGATTTAATTAATACTCCCATTTATGCACAATATACATCATTTGTGAGGCAAATATGATAAAGTCCAAAATCGAGTTTTGTTTAAAATGATGCAGCAATAATAACAATACAAAATCATCTGGCTAAAATTTCAAACGAAATTAGATAGACACTCTTTATAATAGTAAAGTTAGGGCCGAAAAAACTTTGTAAACTTCAACACGGAGTTTTACGAAAATATAATGTTTCAAACAACAAAAACGTTCAGATAGTAGACAAAGCTGGCAAGTTTGAGTAATAAAGACTTGCCCACAATAAATAAAGTATATCTTTTCATAAATTTTATGGTGAAAATTGGCAGCATAAAAAAGAAAAAATATATTTTCATGACAAATTCAAGTTGCTAAACATTTAATTTTTTTTGTACAAACTTCTAAACAGTTCTCACAACAATTTTAAAAAATTAAATACACTATGCCTACAATAATTTTACTATACCAACGATTTTAAATACGACTATGGAAAATTATTGATTTGTTACGATATGTATATAGGAAAAATTGTAAGGTTACTTTAACTAGCAAATCTGTGACAAACGACATTAATAAATTATTAGTAGGTATTTTTTTTAACGAAACAAAGAAAGGAAGACTAGGTTATTAAGGAATTTTTCAAAGGGAGCTCGGAAAATTCGGATTAAAAGATTTAATTATGAACTTCAAAGGTAAAAGGAAATTTGTTTAAATTTTTAATTAGAACTTAGAATTGTTGTTTTTGCAAAAAGTAATTGAAAATGTCGTTTTCTAAAAATTACATTTTGATTACTTCTCATAAAAACATTACCTCTTTACCCTTGATCATATAATATGAAATTATTATTACAATTATTTGGAGGTGTCTGAAAAACAATATTTAAAAATGGAGACTAACTCAGATAAACAACATCTGAATAAATTCCAAAAAGTGAAATTTAATTCATCTTTGGTATGTATCTATACAGAAATTGATAAAGAAAAAAAACATTTGGAAAATACAGTTCAAATATATAACCCGGTTGTTCCCCTTTTAATCAAAGAAATTCAAAAACTGCTGGTCTTTGACTGGGACTTCGTAATGGTAACAGAAAAAAAAGTATGTAGGAGGTAGAGAAAAGCAAACTACATATATCAAAATATACAGGATTTCGACGATGGCAAAGAATTTATTTTTATTTAACAGAAAAAGCTGTAAGAGGAATGGAAAGCTGTGTATTGTTCATTTAACCTGAGGGGTTTATATTTATTCACTTCTTATTTGCCAAGGTAAAGGTAAACATCTATGTTCACGAATGTAAATTTTAATTGTAACCTACATACTCTAACAAGATATATAAATATTGTCGAAAAAATAATAATTCAAAACGCGAGCACTAAATTAAATTGCATAACATAGTTGACAAAGAAAACTCACTTAGAAGCAAATTTGACGAGCAACTCAAATGCAGTTGTAGCTGTAGCTGTTATTTTTCTAAACTGACATAAAAATATTCCACAGTTATTTCTTTCCAAATAACTTGAAATAATTAATGCCATCATTTTATTTTCTAACATTCACTTGTACATTTTCTATGCCATCGGCGTAACAATTTATTTTTCGCAATAGTTTCATTTAATTGAATCAAATCAAAACGCTTAAAATTTACTTCACACCTGCATTTCAAAATTGAATAAAGTTATATATAAATTTCTTACTTTTTATTTCAATATTCTAACAGTCTATATATTGAATAGTTTTATAACGTAATGTCTGACAAAAATAAATAGGTCTAACATTCCAAAATACTTTAGTATAAAAACACTTTTTAAAAACCTATATTAAAAAGTGAAATTATGTAAAATCTAGAAAAAGTTTACTACTTCTTAGATTCTCCTTACCAATAAGAACTATTTTCAATTCTGTAAAACAGATAAACTCCCCAAATTCATTTAAGAAAATTTTCAAACAATAATTTTCTTTCAGAACCTCTCTATTCATTTAGATAAGCAACCACAAAAGGTAAAAATAAAAACTATTTTTTTTTACAAAAAATGTTTATCGGAACGCTTCAAATTATAATTTTTTCATATAGTCCATGACAATAGCCTCAAAATACGGGATGGGAAAGTGAGCAATTTTATCGGTTAAATCGTTACTTTATCCGTCCGTTTTTAGCTAAACCATTAAAAAGCCACAAAGTAGCTGGAATATATATATATATATATATATATATATATATATATATATATATATATATATATATATATATATATAAACACTGTCAAGGCTTAACTCCATTTCATAGTATCCTAATGTGTTAAACTTTATTTTTCGCATAAACTCTTTCCACAAATTACAAAATCACTGCTGCACGTACCACCATTGATATTAAGGACTGAACCCCGCTCGCGAAGTGTAGTCAAAAGTCCCGCTACAAGCTAATCTTACAATATATAATAATAATAGTAATATAAAACATTGTTACAAAATAGTAGTTATTAAAATATATTATAGTCTCTTGGCACATTGAGAAGTGTGTCTGATCTGGAAGAATAATTTTGGTGGTTCCCTACTACACCGATGTTATTATTAGAATTATTTCACTTGCACGCAGGTGCTACAATTTAGCGTGCACTATGACCTTGTTGTGACGTCGTTAAAATTTGGCTACGTTGGTAATCTAATACACACAGACTACATTTTGACAGGTACTCTATATTCTTGCAGTGTCAGTTTCAAGTAACCAGATTACCAATATTTACCTGTATTCACAAACAAAAATGACCGATGAGCTCTGCACTACTGAATTGTACAAATGCCTTACCTTACCTTCAAAAGTATTCCTAGATGCAGCTATCTTTTAATGGTGTAAGAGGTGATTCGTTCTCTATTCTCCACCCCGTCATGTTAGACTGTAGGAATCTCGTCTGTACCATAACTCTTTCCATTACACACGATGCTGAGAGCCTAGCTTCAGCATCATGATCCCAACAGTCGATCATTGTGTCACAAATGGCGGCCAAACCCTAATTTAGGAATACAAAATAAATAAATACTCTATCTGAGCATTTCGTCTCAGGTGGATAGAGTGGTTTGTAAATGACTTTCACTAAACATTTGAAGTAACCACTATTACAGAATCTAATTAATAATTCACCCTCTTCTTAGATCTTCAAAATTAAAATTACTTACCGAGTGATTCCTCCAATGGGGTTGTATGGCTGGTCGAACTTTGTTTTGCACAACTGACTCTTGCATATCTTCAAGAGTGGGATGCGGGCCAACTTCTTCCTCAAATGGTAGTCTGTACTCAGGAATAGGTCCATCTTGGGCTTTGCATCTTGATACTAATTCCCATAGCACCAAGCCACAGGCATACATATCAATCCTAAGAAATGCTTCAGGGGTGAAATTAATTGCACCTTCTAGTACCTCTGGGGCCATATATCTTCTTGTCCCTACTTGCCCATGAGTGTCACCACAAGACTTTTTTGGTTCAAACACTATAGCTAAACCAAAGTCAGCAATGCAAGCAGTCATATCATGCCTAAGCAAGACATTCTTGCTCTTAAAGTCTCTGTGAGCAATAGAGGGTTTCGAAGCCTCATTTGATGATTTTCCTGGGATAGCTTCATGTAAATGCATCAAACCTCTAGCCATTGTTTCGGCAATTCTACACAATTCTATCCAGGAAAGGGTATGAGCTTTTAAATAATCACATAGAGATCCCTTTTCATGATAAGCTGATATTAGCCAAAACTCTGCTTGCAAATTATCTCCCCGTTTTTCAACTCCTATATACTGAAGTATGTTGGGATGAGCCATATAGGGAAGCTTAAATATCTCTTGCTCAGTTTGCCATGACTGCTTATCCTTTGAACATAAATATAATAAACATTAATAACATCAAACATAAAATGAGAGTGCCTGCAAGTTAAATCTATACTCAACAACATTTTATTAGTTTAAAAAAAAAAATTCAACAACTACAGCAACTATTTAAAGTCAAAACTCACTTGAACTGGAAATATCTTTACAGCTACTTCTTCCGACTTAAACTGAGCTTTCCATACCGCACCAAAACGTCCTCTGGCCTTAATTTCAATAAGCTGAATTGGCCGAGTATCTAACATGGGAGATGGTGGAGGCAGTGGGTGAGGATCGTTAGTTGGCAACTAAAAAATTTTCAATTTGCATTGTTAATATCTGCATGAGACCAAACTTTACCCCATTAAAATAATGTTTGCTTCTACGCTTCCAAAATATCCCAAATCCAATTGCCAGTAATAAAATCACAAGCAATGTTACTGAGCCCAATATATAATATATCATGCTAGGTTCTTCTACAGTGGGAATGGCAGCTAAAAAGAATACATAACAACATATGAACAAAATTGAAAATGAAAACAGCTTACTACTCGGAGGTGGAGCCTCTGTAGCCACGGGCTCCCAAAAAAATTCTTTGTTACATAAATCGCCTTCACAGCAACAAAACATCAGGTTATTTTTGGGAGTTGGTGATTTTTCAGTACATCTTTTTTGGCCATAACAGTCTTCAGTGTTTAGAAAACAACCCTAAAATAAATTTAAGCCAACAATAGACCCTTTGATTTAAGTGAGTAAATAATACCTTAAGTGAGACATTTTTTGATCCATCCTGATTTTTTGACCACAAAACAAAACAGTGATTGCGTTTTCCTTCACCAGGAGTATCACAGTCAATTACTTCATTACATTCTCCTGGAGAACAAGTACCATTATTATACTCACATTTTGTTGTCACAGGTATTGCAATTGCAGACTCTGCTTGCCCTAAATCTAAAAAGAGTACAATTTAGTACATGAAAAAATGTATGCAGCGCTGATTTAATACCCTGTGCAGCAAGCAATGCAACAATTACCACCTGAATGCGCTGCAATCTTAATGATGAAAACATCTTGCGAACATAATTAACCCACGGATGTAAGAATTTTTTCTTTCGCTAAAGCCCAATTTGTATATATTAACCTAGGTCAAAAGCATAAACACTGGAGGCGTCACACTCAAATCCTTCAACACAGCAGTAAATTCCTTTTAACACTATTGCTTTAGTATTCTGCAGGCAATTTAATATTGGGGGGCGTCGAAAATTCAAAAATATTCACCAAAATTCTTTTTTTATGCAGCATAACGTCCATGAAAATCACAGGCGAAAATGGAAGCTCCTACAAAATCTAACATGAATACAACACGTATTCTAAACTGTGGTATTGACTAATCTCGATGGAGTTCACCGATCACAGATCACAGATGTCTTCTTTCTTATTTTTGTATGTTTTCCAACATTTCCCAAATTATCGACACTCGCCCATTGCGGATATTCATAATTATTTTTCTTTGTTAGTTACTAATCGGTCATTGTTTAGGGTTGGATGGTGTGAAGTGAAAAATTCCACAGGAGACCCTAAACGATGATTTCAATTCAACAATCCATTTCATAACACTGTGATCATACGTCCAGAACGAGGACTTGATTTTACTTTGTAGCACTACTTAGTAGAAAATATTGAGAGGAGGAAGAGAATCTTTGACAGCACCCTATAAATAAAATCTGTGAAATAATGAAGGTATTTTGAAAATGTGAAGTAGGGTGTAATATTTGTTGAATTTTTTCAATAAGTGTTTGGTGAACTTTATCGAATTATAATATCGCGTACTACCCTGAAACGTAATAAATATCTATGGTATATTTCGGCTGCGTGTCGTGATAGCGATTGACTAGAAGACAAATTTATGATCAGCTGAACAACTAAGTATTTTTTTATATAATGACGCTGATTGACGGCATTGGCGACGAAGTAACCTACTTTTTCGTAGCCATATTTTCCTTAATTGTTGGTAAGTGTCGATATAAACCCTTCTACTATAATTGTACTCTTAGGTTTTCTAGTGAGCATTGCCTGGTGGTCTACGAATATCAGGCAGTTTAGAACTGTTGTACTATTAGACCGAAGGAGACGCACACCTATTACTCATCGGCTTGTTAGACATTTATCAAATCATATAGAAACCACATCCATATCAGCAGGTCTAGACAAGCCTTTTGAGGAGAATGCGTTTATCATTATTCATGATTATAGGTACATCATCAATAAGTGTTGAAGCGGAGAGTAATATAACAGCAAATAATGAAAACTCTAGTATTACATCGGTATCTACATCATCTGCGACACAAGCAATGGCTAAACCAAATGAGGAAGATACAATTACAACCAATACACAGGAATCTGAAGAGCAAAATATAATTGAGACTATGGATGCTGGACAAAATGGAATTCGGTTTAGGTTCAGAACAAATTGTGCTGGTCAAAATCAGGAACAAGGTTTTTAGTTTGTTTTTTGTTTGCTAGGTTTATATACTTTTATAATTTAGGGGATCAAAATTATGAGGAAACTGCGGAAATACCTAGCGCATCCTCTTCGGATAATGATACAAACAAAAGTTATGAAAACCAGGCACAAGTTACTATTAAACTAATGTTCATAAATGATGATGTAAAGACTGTCAAGGGAAATTTAAGTGAGTCTCTAGGTGATTTTAGAAGGTTAGTTTTTTTTAGAAATCTCATAGTATTATTACAAATTTTATGTTAAAATTTATTTCAGGAAACACTTTCGAGTTGAATTAGAATCAAATAAAATTGTTAGGTTGATTTTTAATGGCCAAATATTGAAACATGATACTCAGACTCTACAAAGTTATGGGTTTTTTGAGAATTGTGTTGTTCATTGTCTAATTCACCAAAAACGATCACAAGAAAATCAAGACACATCCCGGAGTAGTTCAAATATACAAAATACTGAATATTTTGGGGAGAGAACCTTTGAAGTGCTCACAAATAGCAACAACAACAATCAAGGTATTGATTGGGATCTTGGCAATTTTCTTTTCGCTGTTATAAGTTTCATATTACTGGCTGCATGGTATTTCAGGTAAGTCCATATTTTTCTGTGAATATTTCAAAATTAACTAATCTTTTAGATATGTTTATGCCCACCTTTATACAGTAACAGCAACAGTAGGATTAATCCTTATAACTGGAATTTTTACCGTTGTATTGGTAGGAATGTATTTTCCCGACACTGAGCATGTTTCTCTACCAACAATTCGGATAGCTCGTTCTGAGAGGATTGAGCTGCAACATGCAAATTGAATCTAAAAGCAAGCCTTAAACTTGCATAAATCTTTTGGAAATTATCTAAATACACTATGATCAACATTTAAAAGTTGTATTTATTTTAATTATTGTATATTATTTACATTATTAAAATTTACTTTTCGGTGTTAGGTGTTCTAGCCATATCATCAAAGATTAATGACACAATATTTTAAATTAGTATATAAAACTTTTAATTCCTTTCCAGTAAAGCAAGGGAAATAGGTTAAGATTAGTAAACATTAATTTCATTTATAATAAGAACTTATTTTAAGGAAATAGATGTTTTAAAATACAGTAAAAAAGTTGAACATAGAAAAAATATATTTTACTTCCCACAATATGTCCCAACAGTACCATAGATGACAGAATTTGGTTAGTTTTGGTTAAGTAGGATTCGATTTCAATTTGATCCTCATAGATTATAACAGTGGTTGGTTACACGCTATGCACTTTGATCACCAATAATTGTCATCCAATAGATCAAGAGGCAAGAGTCGAATTTCAACACTCTCACATCCGAAATACTGCCATAATTTTACTAAATTTATTGAAAAAGTATTCCGAAATGGAATTTTTTATGTGCTTCTCTTACAATAATTTATTTATACTATTTTGTCTTCTGCATTTATAGATTTACCAGAAAATTACAAATGGGAATAAAGATTTTTAGTAAATATAGTATCCACGCAAATTTAGCACATTTCCGAACACTGCCTAATTGTTGTTCATAGAGGTTCATTGATTATTACAATGTCTGAAACAGAAAGAAGGCGTTAAATCTTTAGCCATGACTAATGTTAGTGTTGATCTTCTGCTTTATAATCGTTTAGAAATCGGCAAGTATTTGGTTAGTTACTGTTATTCTGTTGGGACAAAAAACAAAGAATGTAACTTGGTACTACTGCATTCGAGTCAATCATTTAATGCCTTCGAAAAAAATCCTTGGCACAGACAATCTATAAAAGTTCTCGTGTGGCTGGGGCTTAAGGATTCTATATCTTCTTTGCTAACCTTATTTTACTTTTACAATTATCGTTTTGATTGAAATTTGTTACGGTATTTTTTAACATCTTGTAATTTGTTCTTAAAGGTTATAGAAACAGTTGATATGGAACCGTTTCATACATCCAAATGGGGGATTACTGGGACAGGACAGACATTGTGCGAACAATTTTTGCAGGTAATATTAAGTTATTTAAAAGGCTTGTTAGAATATACCTCATTTTCTTTTGTTTTTCCAACCTGTCATTTGTACGGCAAATTCATGTCCTAATAATTTCATTCTCATTTGCGAAATTGCCATCAATTCGTGAAACTAAAACTTAAGCACCATGCTACCAAGAATAGTGATTTTAAAAAATGTGTTTTTGGGGACACACACTCTATTTAGACGAATCGCGAAATCAAAGAGTTTCATAATAAGAAAAAGTTTTTTGAATAACGAATCTGCCATGAACAACAATGTAATCAGGAGCCTAAAGATTAAGCTATTATTGCTTGGAGTATCTTTCACGGCCCTCGGGTCATTTGTGGTTATTCAATTTGGTGGCCCAGAACAAGGAGAAAATGGACAAATACTTTCAGATGAACTGTCTGTGCTTCCAGTTTGGAAACAATATTTACTAAGAACACTCCGGCACATAGAAAATTTTGCTCTCTCCATCCAGGAACCATCAAGAGAGAAACTACTACCAGATCCAGTTGGTTATCCGTATTATCAGCCTCCATACACTCTAGTGTTGGAATTTACAGATGTATTAGCACATGCAGAATGGACTTACCAAACTGGCTGGAGATTTAAAAAGCGACCAGGTGTTGACTATTTGCTGGAAAGTTTAGCAGGGCTCTATGAGATTATTGTGTTCACAGCTGAGCAAGGGATTACCATTTTCCCAGTAATAGATGCTTTAGATCAAAAGAATTTAATCTCATATAAACTTGTTAGAGACTCAACCCATTTTATTGAAGGGCATCATGTGAAAAATTTGGATAAACTTAACAGAGACCTAAAAAAGGTTATTGTCATTGATTGGAATGAGAAATCACTGAAGTTTCATCCTGATAACCATTTTGCTTTAACTAGATGGAAAGGAAATGATGATGACCAAACTTTGATAGATTTAACCTCATTTTTGAAAACTGTTGCAAACACAAATATTGAAGATGTAAGAGAAGTTTTAAGGTTTTACAAACAGTTTGATGATCCTTTGTCTACTTTTAAAAGGAAGCAAATTGAATTTTTTGAGAACCAAAACAAAACTACTAAGCAGTCCAGACCTCAGCCTTACTTTAAGAAAGTTTTTGATCGTCTGTTGTAAAGACCATGTTATTGTTAAGGGACAATAGATATATTCTCTTAGTATGATGTAATTCCAAATTTCAATTTACAAAATACAAACTTTTTTTATTGTCAAAATAGAATTTGAGAATTTTATATTTTGTTTTCCTGTTTTTTTTATCAGCATTTTGGATGTTGTGAGTGTTGAAATAGTTATCTCCTTTTAATGTTATTAAACTTATTCATTTTAGGATGCAAAAAGTAAAAAAAAAATTGAACAAAAGCAGCTTAAAATGAGAAGGAAAAGATTGAAATTAAAATCTGGTTTTGCAATAAAAAATGAGACGAAAGAAACACAGAAGCTGATATCTCCACAAAAGTCAAAAACACTGAAGAAAGCATTTCCTGACATACAAAAACTGAATGATAACATAACATCCTTGTTGAAAACTAAAGTGAAAATGCCAAAAAATGCTAAAAAAATAAAAGATAAGAAAGGGGCCTGTAATGTAAATCCTGGACTTATAGCCAAGCGTAAACGCCAATTAGCTGAACTACAAGCACATATAACAAATGATTCTAATAAAAAAAATAATCCTGATTTGTCTTTAAGGCAAAAAATGATAGAAAGGCTGGAATCTGCAAGATTTCGATTTTTAAATGAACAAATTTATACAGTTAGTGGTAAAGAAGCTGAAAAAATATTCAAAACTGACCCAGAAGCATTCCATGCCTACCACAAAGGTTACCAACAACAGGTCAGTAGGTGGCCTATGAATCCGTTGGATAGAATCATCAAGAGCATCAGTAAACTGTAAGTTATACACTTTTTGATTTTTAATACAGGAGTAGAGTATAACATGCTAGGGTATCATATACACGATTTGTTTATTTTCAAAGAATAACAAATTTTATAATACATGAATCTATTGTCCCGTGCAGAAAAGTAAGTGTACTTTTATGTGCGTACCAAATGCATGTCTTGAAAACGAAAAATTTTATCCCTTCCTAGGTTAAACCTCCAGTGTAATGCAAGAAGCAAGCATTCTTTGCCGAGGCGCCCTAATAATCTGGCAGTACCGTAACATTTCCATCTCACTTCTTCCTTAAAATGTCAGGGTAAATTGTCGCCCTTGATGTTTAACCTAGGATGCAATAAAAGTTTTGTTGTCTGCGCCAATAAATCATACACTTTAGTACCTACCATAAGAAGAAATCTTATAATGGTGTGAACTGTTAAAATTTTACTGTATTTAATCTGTATATTCAATATATTTAGTAAATATATGGTACATGCATATGCATTTTTACATTATTATTGTCATATTTTATTTGAAAAATTATATTTATAATTAGGTATACTTAAGGGATAGGCAATTACGTATTGCCATAAGAATTCCTTAAGGGAATAAAAAATTCTGTTTTTACAGGCCAAAAGGCTACAAAGTCAGTGATTTTGGTTGTGGTGAAGCAAAACTAAGTCAGTCACTAGAACATACAGTGCATTCCTTTGATTTAGTAGCAGTAAATAAATTTGTCACACCCTGTAATATGGCCCACGTACCTCTGGAAAATTATAGCATGGACGTTGCAGTCTTTTGCTTATCTCTTATGGGCATCAATCTGTCAGACTATTTGATAGAAGCCAACAGGGTTCTCAAAGTGGGGTAAAACCTGATTATTTATTTGAGTGTCAAATTAATTTTAATGCTGTGCCTTTCAGAGGCATGCTGAAAATTGCAGAGGTGGCAAGCCGTTTTGATGATGTTAACCAGTTCATCGCTAACTGCAAGTATTATGGGTTCAAAAAAACCTGGATGGATCTATCCCACAACCTATTTTATTTCATAGACTTTAGAAAGGAATCTGATGTGAAGAACATAAAAAAACTTCCAAAGTTGAGCTTGAAACCCTGTATTTACAAAAGAAGATAATAAAGTACAAACATTAATACCACATTATATTTTAGTCATCCATGTTACCAAAAATCTATTTCACAGGTTGCTCCACTCCATCTAACACATCTTCAGCTTCTTCCCGAAGATTTTCAACCCTCTCAAGCAACAACATCTAAAAACTCAATCGAGAGAACATGCTGAATTTGTAATAAGGAAATTTGTAGTACCTTTGATGCTGCCACCAACTGGCAGGCAACATTGTATGACATAAATTCTATCTTCTCCGTTAAATCTGACACTTTTGCCTTTGCTATAGACTGAAGAGTCTTATATCCTGCATTGAATAATTGCATAGCTCTGCTCTGAAAATGATAAATATGAGTTGAGGACAAAGTATAACTTATCCCAGTTTACTTGTTTCACAGCAGGTAATTCCATAAGTGGCAAGAGCTCCTTTACACAGCAATGTGACAATCTATTACTCATACCTTTTAGTAAATATGAAAAGGCCCAAAATTCTTCCAGTTGCTCACAGAAGTTGACAACATTTGATGCAAATGTGGCTGCTGCAGTCATTAAAGTTTGAATTAAGCCTCTGTCGACCTAAATATATAAAATAAAACATAATCCTGTTTCGAGATTTATATTACCTGATATTTTTCAGACACTTCAAACACAGGTGTTTCATTCCACAAATCATAAAGCATTAATGTCAGGTAAAATCTATTCAACACCTGATCTGGTATATTCTAAAAATGACCAAATAAGATGTTATTCTTTTCTGCTGCATAATTACCTTAAGTGGAATGCCTGACAACATTTTTACAATTGTAGCTTCATCAAATCCTAAAACCCTCGCGGTATACATTTCTTTTTGTCCTAAACCCATGAGCTTAAATAAAAAAAGTTAAATAAATTATATCTTAATGACTTTTAATTTTACCTGCTCATAATAAACTTGCATATTTGGTTTGATTTGCTCAGATGTGTCATACGGTGTGATAAGGTACAATAAATGAAGACAATCTAATAATACCAAACTCTTTTGAGCTCTGTAAAGGTCATCATAGAGTTGATGAGCACGAGAAATTTCCAGCCCCCCTATTGAATACTCAAAATAACATAATAAAGTGTAACATATATTTGATATTTAGCACCTTTGATAGCTGCTGCACCCAAACTACTGACCAATAATTTTGAGTTACTGGTTAATACTACCATCTTCTTTTTTGGACTATTTTCACTTTGCAGCTAAAACAAAATATCACTATCTAGTCTATACTTTGATTACAAGATTTCTAAGGTCAGCCAGTATTAAAGATGACCAAAGATTTGATAAGTTTTAATGGAATAGTATAGATTGTTAATTGATGGTAAACCAGCAACACAACTTAAAAAATTGCTTCAGAGATGTGTCACAGGTTTTAGTTTTGGTTCAACATTAATACAAGAAAAAATTACTAGAAAACTACTGTAAATTCCAATTAAGGTGAAAGTGAGTTTCTTTTTTTATTTTATTCAAATGGACAGATTTTTTAAAAATAATTTTATTATCAAATTTGTATCTTAACGACATCTGATGGCTAACAAAATAAAGTAAAATTTTAAGGATTACTTACACTTAAATTGTTCAGTGTCATATCTAGTTTTACAGTAAAGTCACATATATTAGATGTGGGTTTTTTGTTTCTTGAACAAGATTCCTCTATGGCTCCCATTTTAAAAAGACACTTAATTGCATTGTCAGTCATTGCTTTTATATCCACCTCCAACTTGTCCCTCTGAACCGCCATGAGTGTTGATCTTATAACAGCCTGCAATTGGCTTCTTGTATTGGCTAATCCTAAGCTTATACAACTCAAAAGCAAATGTCTGAAAAATGAAGTGTCACTTTGATCAAATTCTCACATCTTTTTGATCAAACCTTAAACCCTTGCCATCCAAAGAATGTAAACTTGATAAAGCTTGGTTCATTGGACTCATCAATAACTCTTTAAGTTTGGGTAAATCCGCGATCTGAGTGATGACAATACTTTCCCCTTTCTCTCCAAAACATGCTCTGCCAGCTCTGCCTACCATTTGTTTGTATCTTGCTAGACTTATAAAATCTCGTCCAATATATGGTGACCGCAAAATAACCTATAATAACATATTGGAGTTTTAGCAAAACAAGAATTCCAACACATGCCCTTTTTGCTGGTAAATTGACTCCTGCGGCCAATGTTGAAGTGCAACAGATAACACAAATTGTTCCCGATCGGAAACCATCCTCAATTAGTCGGCGTTCATCGCTTGTTAATCCTGAATGGTGGTAAGCAATTCCAAATGGAACAGATACTTTCAAAATGTTACATAATTCGCCAGATTCGCTCTTCAGAGCATTTAATAGCTGCTCCTTCTCAGTTTTTTTAATATTTTTCAAGTCTCTAGAGGGATAATCTAATTGAAATGTGTTTTAAAATTCATCCATTACTTACGGCTTTGCCAATTTGCACAACAAAAATGTAACATTTTCGCAGTTTTTCTTTGATGGACAAAAAATCAAACAGGACCCTGTAGATACTACTTCTAGAGCCAATCCACCAATCATATCTGGGTCAACCTTTGACACTGGTTCTGAATACTGTTAGACAAATAAATTAAGATTTATTGATAACAATCATTTCACCCAAATCATCTTTTAAAGTAGTTTACTTAAAATACTTTCATATGCTGATATACCTTGTAATCAACTTTTCTGGCATCTACTAGCAAATCACTGTCGTCGCTATAATTCCAATTAATTCTGGCAATTTCATTGCCACACTTTACATATTCAGTCAGTTCTACAGGTCTGAAGGTATTTGTGTAGACATTTGCATTTAAAAACTTACATATATCCCCAATATTGCCTATTGTGGCGCTCATACCAATTATTTGAATATTTGCTAAAAGAATCAAATAGATTCTACCTCCGCACATAAACACCTAAAATTACCATTAAGGAACAAAACTTTTGTCAAACACGACTCCAGGGTTGCACCCCTTCCTTCTTCACCAATTAAGTGAAGTTCATCAATAACAATAAGTCCGATTTCATTTAGTCTGCCCGTTTCTATAAGACTATTAATTAAACCTAAAGCTTTCTCAATTGTTGCTATATATACTGAGCGTTTCCTGCGTCGTTTTCGCGGGGGATATGTTCCTTTGTTTGAAGCATATTCCTCTACCAGAAAATCGAAAGATACTCCAAATGGTGAAAATTCCCAGACCTATAAAGATTATTTCAATCCCTTTCCTATCAAAACAACAAAAATCGAACCTTTTCTTGAACAATGGAAACGTAGGGCAAAATAAAAATGGCGTTACATTGGTAACAAAGCACCTCTCTTAACATTAAAATTTCTGCAACCAATGTTTTTCCACCACTTGTTGGCAACGCATATACCAAGTTTTTCCTACTATTAATTGCCAATTTTAAACAATCATCTTGCCAGCCTTAAATTATTTTTTTAATCTTACAAATATTAGAACCTAGGTACTTAAAATATATGCTTATATTTAAAAAGTGAATTACTTAAACAAAAAAAAATTGTTAACTCTACAGAATGTAAATGAATCTGCTTTCACTCAGTAAACATGTGTAATAAAACTTTGCTACAGAACAAAAGTGAATGTGCATTTCATCTTCAATTTCCTAGAGAGATCTTCAACTTACATTTATTTTTAAAAATTTGTCTGGAAAGGTACTCGACTTTTCTAAATTTGGAATACCTACCATATAACTCTTCAATCCCTTTATATTGCTTAATTAAGTCTTGCACTTTCTTAGGTAATCCATAAAATGTTCCTAAAGGACGGAACTCAGCTCTCTTTTCACCTAGGGTCAAATTCAAAGGGCTTTTTGTAATTTTCTGAAGTGAAATGTTTTTGGTTGCATTGTTAATTAACGCCTGCTTAATAATAGTGCCAAAACTGCAATTGCGAGTCTGGTCCCAATCAATATCAGCAAACTTTTGACTTAAATCAGCTTTCAATCTTTTACTATCCTGCTCATCAATGATTTTCGTTGATGAAGTAATGTCATCATCGAAAATAACATCTAAAACACTGTCAGGAATGGTTCTTTCAAAGTTACTAGTTCCCATTGCACAAACTGAATACTCAATTTCCTGAAACAGTCTATCAATTTCATTTTTATATTGAGTAGTCACAGATTCATCATTAAACAACAAAGACTTATCGCTACTTTGTCTATTTGTATACTCATTCAAAGTAGTTGATCTGTCTAAAAATGATTTTAACAGTGGCAACTTGAAAATTTCTTGATCATTATTATTTTGACTGGAATTACTATTTCTTCTTTGGGAAGTGTTCGAGTTTTTTTGCATTTCCTCATCAATCTGTTTAATTGTTTGGGTGTCAAATGCTTGAGAAAATATATACTCTTCATCCACTTTTAGTCGTTTCACACATTTTTTTTCAGCACTGGTTGATTTGTTTGAACCATTAAAAAATTGTGCAAAAGCATCAAACTCAGACTGATCCAAATTTGCATGAGCCGACGTTTCGGAAAATCCTTCCGACGTTTTACAGTCTTTTCGACATGTAAAGTGATCATTTATTTTTAATTTCTGTTTGACTTTCTCTTGCTCATCAGATAAATTAGACTTACTATTTTGAAGACCAGAATTTTTAATGCTACAATTGTCGGAAGATCCAAATCCACTGGAATTATCTATCCTATTCAACATCAATTTGGAACATTTGCCCTTTATTTCTGTCTCTCTTATATCTGTTCTTGATGCTATGAATAAAGTTATATTTGGAAATAAAAAATAGTTATTAGTTAAAAATAAATAGCTACCTCTAGATGAATTCCTTCTTACAAAATCCATACCCTCACACTTTCATTTATTAGACCAAACAGAATTGAGTTAATTTAAAGGACATCTTACAGTTTAGAATATGTAGTTGAAGATTATTTCATTCGAGGTTATGTGGCTAATAATTTCTTCTTTTATTCTTGCAAAAGAATAACGCTCTAGTCTTGGCCGATTGATCCTAGCAGTCTTGGCTAACAAGAAGAATAATACTTTGAATCTAAAGCAAAATGTGATAGACACAATTGCCGTGGCCTATTTAATCAAAGACTTAAGCACAGAATCAAAATATGAGAACATAAAAATTTATGACAAATTATTTTTCAGATTTTTCGCTAGCTTGACAAGTCTAAAAAAAGTTTCCCGCTTTTATCCTAAATAGTTTTCTGTTTCTAGCTACCATAATATATAGTTGGCCACGTTTCACTGCAAGACTTTTGTGAGTTTGTCAAACTCTTTAAAACACAAATACCGCTATGAGTGCAAATCCGTCTTACAAGGTGAGTATAAAATTGTTTTAAGGACCTCATTTTTTTTTTACGCGATTTATTTTAGCCGTCCGAAGGGAAGCGAGAGGAATTTCGAAAATATTTAGAAAAAAATGGTGTCATGGATGCACTTACCAAAGTATTAGTTAATCTGTATGAGGAGGTTGATAAACCCGAAGATGCATTAGAGTATCCTTTTTTAACATATGATGTATTTGTTCATTATAGTTAATGTAAGAACCTCATCATTTTTATTAATAACGTCAAGATTTATCTTTAACTAAACAGATTTATTCGTGACAAATTGGCAACTATAGCAGGACTGGAGCCTCAGAAACAAGTGCAGAAAAAACTCGATGAAGCTAATGACCGAATAAAAGATTTGGAAGATCAATTAAAATCTCTAAGTGATAAACTTCAAGGCGACACAAAAATCTTTGAGTCTGATATCAAGGAAGAATCCTTTGAGGATCCCATAACAGAACCTGAAAAAGTTGAGGAAAAGCCGCCTGAGAATCTAACTGATCAGGAACAGTAATGTTTTCGGTTGTTATAATTCTGTTGGATATTTTTCAACCAACTGTTAAAATGATAAGTGCTTTGGAATAATACTGCTTTCATATTCATGTTTGGTCCACTGGCACAAATCATTTTAAAAATTTGGTTGAATTATGAAGTGTCTTAGTTATATAGAGTGCCTACTACTCTAATTTAGCTCTGTACTTATTGCTTTAAAAAGCACTTTATGTACTTAGTAAGAGATTTTGTTGACTTTATTTACTTTTCCCCCTGTATTTCTGCATTAGTTGGTTGGAGGAACATTAAACAAGAACCTATGCAAATTTGTTTTTGTCAACATATTCTTTTTAATTTGTTATTTTCATTTGGAAATGTTGCCTCATTTTACATTCCCTAGTTGGTCTGTATTAAGCCAACCAGATTTATAAATACGGCATTTAAAATTCTTTTGCAATGCAATCAATGAATTGACACAATAAAAACTAAAGTAAACAAAAAACATATATACTAGTTTAGTTGTTTTGAATTATGTTATGAATTTTACATTTATTTAGTTGAAGTTGAAGAAATTTTGTTTTGTATTATTACTTCCGAGAAAATAAATGCTTTGGTCTTTATTGAAACTTATTTCAGTGTTTAAACAAGGTTTCTCTACTCCCTACTTTAAAATACCCAATTATGCAGGAATCAAGCCTGTGAAAAGTGTCACGATAAAAACCTCAGCTTCACTATGGTCACAAGCCACTTCAGAGGATTCAGGCATTTTAGTTATGGTACTTTGAAATTGGTCAAATCTGTTTTGCAAAAATGTACCCAAAAATTAATTGTAATGTTTTTTCTAGAATAAATTTTTAGGTACATTTTTGTGAATAATTAACAAATTTCTAACGACATAGTTACATAATCTATTAAACTATTATTTGTATGTACCTATATTTCCCAAGACCTTATCCTATTGTGATAACTTATTAATAGAACATGGCACAATTTGAGCAGTCCAATAATCAATTACAATACTTTGAAATTTATTGATTCACAAAATTTAATAACAAAATAGCCGTTGATTACATTAAAATAATGAATAAATAAATCTTTTATTCAGAAAACCAAAGGTTGATTGTTAGGCAAGTGTTAAAATTCAAATGAAAAGCACATACTTCAAGATGCCTTAAATGAAATTGATGTACTTTAGAAGTTCATAATCATTTTGCAGTTGTAACTTGAGCTGACTGACGTCTCTTAACATCCCAGTTATATACCCTTGCCATGTTGACTTCAGTGGTGGTAAATTGATCCCTGAAATTTAAAATCATTAACATTAAATTATAGAAATGACAGTCCACTGTAACTGAGAATAAAATAAATACTATTAACATAATAACATTTGTTTTCCAAGGGCCATTTGGTTTGGAAATTATTGTTTTTTGTTTGTTGCTTTCCTTTTTTCAAGTTCAGTAAAGCCTCACCTTAGAAAATCCAAATCATGATCCGCATAACCTAAGTTTCTTTCAGCTGCTGCAATATTCTGTGTTAGAAGTTTTTTCGCATCATCTAAACTATATTCCAACATAACATTTGCTCCTAACCAAAGACACACTTTGTCAGTAGGCATAACCTGTGCTTTGGCAAAAACTTGTTCACTTAGAAGAAACTGAGTTTTGAATTCCTCTTTTTGTTTCTTCAGTTTTTCAATCATTGTTAATGACCGTTTTAATTCAGGAATCTGGTTTTGCAGGCGCTTCTTTTTTGACAGCAAATTGTACTCCATAAATTTATATTTTGCATGCTGATTATCTAATCTCTTTAACACTTCTTCAATATTTCCGTTGTTTTCGGATCTTGCCATATAAGAATCAACATCTTCCTAAGGCCAATGTAACTTTCAGTGTCATACAATCATAAAATGTACAGAACCAAAAAAGGATATAAGCAATAATAAGCACAATAACGTTAACTTACAACAAATTCAGCTTCTGGAATACCCGCGTAAGATTTTTTGTCACCTAATTCAATTTTATCAGCTTCAAAATCCATTTTAAAACAAAAATGCAACCTTTCCTTCCCCAAAGCTTCTTTTTGTGTCAAGGTTAAGAATAAACTATTCTTTAAGACTCTTTTTTTAAATTAATCACTTACAATTGTTACCAAGATCATTCGGCCAGTGTTTGCATAGATTGGTATTATAACCTAAAAATACTCGGCTATTGAAGAGTGTTATCCAGGATGATTTCTATTTCTTTACAGTAGACTTGTGAATAAGGTTGAATTTTTGATTTATGAAAATTGCTTCATTGACAGTTGAGATTTCTGTTTTGTTAACTGGACTAGCGATTGCGGTAATATATCTTTGAATGCTTTCAAACGAACGAGTAGAGATAGCTGCTGCTATTGAACCAAGCTATTGATTGCGTTTTAATTAACGACCAAGTTGAAATTAAACGTAATGTGAATTCAATTTACGTCGCTCTGTAAAATTATGAACACATGCCAATTTAAAAAAAAATTCTAGCCTAGACCATTTTAGAAAAAAAGAAAAATCATTTTTAGGATATTTTTGTAACAAATGCATCCAAAACAAAATACTGAAGATCAATGTTTTTATGGTTATGTTATTATAAGATTTTGTTTTTTTTTCAATTTTTCTATTTTGAGTAGGTTCGATTCAAAAAGATAAAATATGGATATTTTAAAGGCTGAAATTGAAAAAAAACGGAAGGATCTGGAAGAAAAAGATATTTTGGTTAGTAGTTTTCACTTCTTTGGTGTATTGCATTGAAAATATAACTTTTATTAAAGGCTTCTAATAAAAAGTACTTTAAAAGAGGTGATTTGACAGCTAAGGAACAAGAAGAATTTAGGAAAAAGTATCTTGTTACAAAAGAAAAAGCCAAAAGTACCACGGAAATTTTACAAGGTATTTTATTTCTGTCATTAAGTGAACATCAAGGTAATTTAAGTTAAATTAATTAATTATTAGGTGATAAAACTGAATCAGATATTAAGCACAACATTTTACCTAGACAAGAAGTTATTTCAAGATTAAGAGATCGAGGTGAACCTGTTCTTCTTTATGGCGAATCTGAGTTAGATGCTTTTAAAAGATTGAGAAAATGTGAACTACTTGAACCTGAGAAAAACAGAGTGAGTAGCGGTACATACATCACCTAAACTGTATGTTTAATTTTATGTATTTGAAACATGTCCAAACATTGACTCTTAACATGACACATTCTTGAACTGAGGTGGCTTTTACTTGATGAAAATCCATTTATCAAAATAAATAAGAACTAAAAGTTCAGATTTTCACGAAATTATATATTATGACATGACAATTGTTTCGACAACACCGTGTCTTTATGATAAAGACACTGTGTTGTCAAAACAATTGTCATAATATATAATTTCATGAAAATCTGAACTTTTAGTTCTTATTTATTTTGATGACACATTCTATATAGGGGTTTAGAAATGACCTGCAGGAAGCAATGGAACAGGTAGATCAAGCATATCTTGATGAACTGTTAAAATCAAAGGCTTCTGGAAATGAATGCAAAGAAGAAACCACAACTCAAGAACCTGCTCTCTCCTATGAAGAAATTAGGGAAATGGCGAAAAAAATGGGGAGAGGAAATAGGGAACATGATATGACAGTTATTGTTCATTTTGTACAGGTGAGTAATAGACATTTTCATTCACATTGTAGATTGTGGGTGAGCCAAAAAGAATTAACAATAATTAACTGTTAATTAAATCTGAATTAAATTATTTACAAAATTTAATAAACTTGTAGCTTTGAGGCAAACATATCAACAAAATATATTTCATTTATTAAAATTAATTTAAATTAAAAATTGCCAGTTATTTTTTTAATTTTATTAATTTTCCTGGGATTGAAGTTTACCCTGGCTATCTTATGGTGAATTCAAAAGAAATTAAATTGTTTCCTCAATAAATTTGTTCCTTATTGTTCTCGTGGAGATAACTCTAAAACTAATGAAGATTTTGCAAAGTTTCCACATAGTGATAAATCTGAAATTATGTTATTCACTTTAAAATTTGGAAAAGAGGTTGATTTTAAAGTAATACTACTTAACAAGGATAGTGGGAGGGCATAACTTGAATATTTTTAAATTTAATTTTTAGTCAATCTGTTACATAAAATATCTTGAAATAAAATCTTCATCTAATAGTCTTAGATTAGTTGCTGCACTTCATCACCACTATGAATCATTTGATTTAATTTTTATTATCAATGTGCAAATGTTTTAAACTTTTATATGGTTTCGAGTTCTTAAAAACCAATGTCTGTTAATTTCTAGAAATGTTCATTTATTTTTTTTTCTGCAAATCATGATATGAACACTGTATTTGATAAACTTGAATCAGTATGTAACATTTTCAGTGCCAATTGTTGTCTTATGGAGCATATGGCGGTGGATGTTCTTTTCTTATTTGTTGTCCAGCCGAATTATCTAAAATACCAAAAAATTAGGTAACAATAGTAATAATTTGTTGCTTTTAATCACATCCTAATTGACTGCTTTGGGGCTGTTCGACGTGATATTGTTGATGCACAGTGGGAATTGTTGCAACTCCAATAATTGGAATCGCTTGAATGAGTCGCCCTAGGAGAAGAAAACGAATAAAAAAATATTCTCTCTCGCATTTCATTTGTTTTTAGATGATTTTTTATTTTTTACAAAGATTCGATTTCATATATACAATTGAAATGTTTTCTGAGAGTACCCTGTATAGTTGCCAGTTTGACAAAACTCTCCATTATAATAGTTTTAGGTTGTACTCACCAGATTGTAATATTTTGTTTCTTAAGTTTTGATATGCAAACTTAGTATAAATGACAATGCCAATTTGTCCCATCATGTAGAATCCCATTAAAAAAAATCCGAAGACCATTAGAGGACCAAAAGAATCGAAAGCCATGGTACACTGTTAATTGTTAGCGAGACCAATAAATTTATTATCAGTTCGAAAAAAAATGTGCGCTTATCCGCTTGTTTTGATAAAGTTTCATTTTATCAAGATCGAATTGATAATTATTGTGGTTCGAATGGGTATTATATATATTATTACTCCACAGTCTATTTAATTGGGCAAGAATTTTTAGCCTGAAAAAAGTAAAATAAGCGTAGCTTTTTTTACTCGATATATTTTTTTATCAGTGGTATATAATAAAAATAGGACTAGAACTATTTATGTTGTTATATTACTTCAAATTGACATGTTTTTCTCAATCAAATACTAATGCCGGATTTATGATATTGGGAACTCCATATCCTAAAAACGAAAAAAAATGCATAATACAATATTTGGTATAAAAATTGAACCAAGCTGTCCAAATCTTACATACTCATATCAATATTATTGGGATGGATGGGTCGTAAATTTGCTCTTCTAAATCTTAGATTATCTTCCACAAAATAATATCCTAAAAATAATTGGATTAGGTTTCAGCTAAGCACTAAGCAAAATAATCAAATTTAAAAAGAAATTAGTTTTTAATACCTTCATTTAGAAGCCTAAGAAATTTTCTCCTTCTGTATTCAAAAATCACGATCTGGATGACAACCAAAAGTGAAAATATTGAAAAAATCACTATTAATATAACTCCCGCCGTTGGATCGTCACGAGGATCCATATCGGAAATCAACTATTATGCGTATAATAAACATTCACTTTTCATTTAATCGTTAATGATACAACACGCGACAAATATGTTCAGTTATTTATGTTTGGTAGTTGATGTATTTGTGGATTAGATAAGATAAAAATTTGTTGTTCAGATCAGTCTCTGTGATCACTGACGCAGAAGAGCTGGTGCAAAATTGTAATGCAACTGGTCTTTTATCAATTTTCAATTTTTATTCCAAGTGATAAGAGGTAACTTTAATATCTGGCAGACACTGAGTAATCGATCTAAAGTTAACCTATAACGTGGTAAAATACCTACACCCTTCGATGAACCACATAATATATATGTTTTGTTTTAGGCTTCCGCGGGTCTTATATGTGTGTTGTAAATTCTTCCGCGCGCGCGCCACACACACACACACACACACACACACACACACACACACACACACACACACACACACACACACACACACACACACACACGCACACGCACGCGCACCCGCACGCGCACCCGCACCCGCACCCGCACCCGCACACGCACCCGCACACGCACACGCACACGCACACGCACACCCAACCCACACCCACACACACACACACACACACACACACACACACACACACACACACACACACACACACACACACACACACACAACAAACAAACAAAAATACATACATACATACATAAATATATATATATATATATATATATATATATATATATATATATATATATATATATATATATATATATATATATATATATATATATATATATATATATATATATATATATATATATATATATATATATATATATATATATATATATATATAAATTTGAAAAATTGTAATGCAATGAAAGTTAAACATTTGCCCATTAAACAAATACCTATAAATAAATATATCCATATCTTGCATTTGAATGCGGAACTAGCGCAAAGTTCTTTTTGTTTGCTTTTTTGACGAAATATTTGTAGAGCAGTAATTTCCTTTAAAAAAAAGTGTTTGATTTAATTTTGGACAGAGCCTTAATAAATCCTTTATTAAATTAGAACTGCATGACTTCAAAACACTATATCTCAAAAAATATGGTTTTGCTGACCAATATTTATGTTCTTTTGTTATGTCGAACCTTATCAGTACAGTTTGCCAAAGTATTGAATTAACACCCCGTATACTTTTATTTGAGTAGACTTCCTATTTCAAACGAATATGTGGTTTCTTATAACATGTAACTTATTACAGCTACTGTTGACTAAATGGAGTGAGCAACTCCAAAACCGATCTGCGGAAGAGAAAACCTCAACCAAGGGAAAATTAGCTGGCGCGACTTATACGCAAACTCAAGTTTATCTGAAACCACTATTGAGAAAGCTAAAAACGTTTACTCTACCGGAAGACATATCCGACAGCCTGACAGAAATTATAGTACATCTCCTTAATAGAAACTACTTAAAGGTAAATAATTCAATAAGTTTGCTCATCATAGTTTAAAAGGTGACCATAATTTTTTGATAAATAATAAAATTTAATCATAAGGTGAAAGTTAAAACTTTCGTAATTCAAAAATAACTGGTTTATTTTATCTATTTCATTACTAGGCAAGTGATGCTTACCTTCAGATGGCAATAGGCAATGCGCCGTGGCCTATTGGAGTGACTATGGTTGGTATCCATGCTCGCACGGGAAGAGAAAAGATCTTTTCGAAAAATGTCGCCCACGTGATGAATGATGAAACCCAAAGAAAATATATTCAGGCATTGAAACGACTTATGACAAAATGTCAAGAGTATTATCCCACTGATCCTTCAAGATGTGTCGAGTATCAGATATTTCATGATACAAACAAAAACTAAAAAAGGTCTTATTTGCATAGAATTTATTAATGCATTGTATATAATTTATCCATATACATTTTTTATTATAACCTAAAATAAATTCATATACGGAAGTAACTTATAGTAGTGTTATGCAATTGTATATTGCTTCCTCAATATTAAATTTAGTTGTGATACATCTATTTTTTTTGGTTGCCCAACTCTGCAGCTTTTAATGCCGTTGCTTCAATTGCATCCATAACAGCTCCTCTAAAATATTGTTGGTGAAATATTAACTATTATAAGCGGTGTAACCAGTGTGACTAGGTGTAACTTTTAAACTAAAAAACAATAACTTATCTTTGTTTAAACAACACAGGCAGGCAAATTTTTTAGTTGGATCTATAACTTACTTGATTAATATAAAAAAAAAATAAAATTCCGTCTCATTTTTTTTACCGAATTAATTCATTTTCAATGCTCTTTGAAAAAATATTCTTGATAAGTTTGATCTTAGAAAACAAGGAAAAATTATTTTAAGCATCTTCGCTATTTTTACTTTTAATTTTCCGCAATTGTAATTGCTTTTAACCATTTTTCATGTAGTGTTGCTTAAATTTTACAGAAATAAACTTGATTTTTATGAAATATGTAATAATAATAATATAATCTGTGGTATCAGTTATTAAATTCTTTTATTATTATCTGATATAGCGTAAAACTTCTAATTTTATAAATGGTAAGAAAAAGTTTGTAGTCACCAATAAAATTAAAATTGCAAAAAAAAAATAAATATTTTACTTTTTTCTTTTAATTCTTAAAAGAAATGGTTAGCAGCATACACATAGGCAAAATATAATATACAATATTTATGACTTTATATAAGTAAATACAGAGTGGGTGTGAGTTGTATATTGGGTGATCCAAAAAATATGCACCAATGCTCGAGATTCGTCACAAAAAAAAGAAAAAAGTGCATATAAAGAGTGTGTTAAAATAAATGCGTCAAACTTAAGGGGGCGGTTCCTTGTTTAAAATAAAGACAACCAGTCATTAGGGAAAATATTGCGCTACAAATATGGCTGCAAAATAATGTTTTTATTTTTTATGTTAAAAATGTTGTGGACGTATTAATATAAAAACACACTTTCTGCATTATTCTTTTTTTTTTTAAATGAGTGGAGGCGATTAAATTAAACTACCTCTATCATTCTGCTTAACTGAATTTCAAGAAAAACATGCAATAATCACATCAAAAATATGTTTTATTTAGAAATTTTGGTATCCTGCAATTTGTTCATAATAGTAATCGTTTCCAAATAAAAAAATAAAATCTAAAGTAATGCATAACGAAATAAAAAAATATTAGATAACAAAAATCTAATGGGCTGTTGGTAGTTTGATTACAAAATACGACTAATTTAAATAAAAAATTATCATCTAATTCTTAAATAATAAGAGTTAAAAAAGTTTCTAATAAACCTGAATATCGAAATTTATTTTTTTCATGTCATTGCGTAAGTTTTTATTTTAATTCTGCTGTGGTTCGTTTTGCTAGTATTAATGAGTATTGACATACCTCACTCCACCTCGTTCCAGAGCATGAATCCCGGCTATTGTTTGACCTCCGGCTGAACACACTTCATCTTTTAATGTTCCCATGTGTTTGTGAGTTTCGAGTACCATTTTGGCGGCTCCCATTACTGTCTGCGCAGCGTATCTTGTTGCCATTTCCCTATGCAAGCCCATACGGACTCCGCCATCGGAAAGCGCTTCAACAAATAGATAAACCTAGAAATTTGGTTTGTTTGAAATCGCATTTAAATTATCTGGGAATAAATACAAAAGCCGGTCCACTTGAAGATACAGCTCCTACTGCGTTAATCATGCGTTCTGGTAACATTTCGCACATGCCAGTTACTTCTAACATCGTTTGAACTACTTTCAAATCTTTCTCTGTTACTGTCGTCCCAGGACAATAAACCGTACACCCCTGCCCGATCATCATTGGCGTGTTTGGCATTACTCTAATTACCCTGCTGCCTTCAAATTGAAACAGCATCTGGAAAAGTATTCCTTTTCAGTTGTTTCAAGGTACAGTTAAAGTTTCGATATCGTTATGATTCTAGTTTTTAAGTAGCTTGTTCAACAATCAGAAGAAATAAGAGATCGGTTTAATTATTTAAAAAAAAATTGTAAAAAAAATTAAAACCGAAAATTTTCCTTTTAAAATTTCTATATTTATTGCAATTTAATGAAACTAGTCATTTACATATTTAAATATGCACATATTATATAGATTTTATTGGAACAAAATCAAAATTTAAATTAAGGTGGGTTTGGCTAATAAAAACAATGGTGGAGCGCAGTAGTAGTTTTTTGTTGCGTGAGTTTGGACTTAATATAGTATACTAAAACGCCCCTGGACTTTTGGAGCAGAACGTCAAACATAAATGTCAAACAGTATTTGGTACCTTATGTTGTTACCATAACAACAAGCAATAAACAATAAAACAAAGCGGAAATTCGACAGTTTCACTCTTTTGCGCATGCGTGCTCTTAAAGTCCTGCATTGGGATGTAGAACCTTTAGAGTGTGTACGTATACTATAACGTGTTTCCAAAATGTGCGGTGGTTCTTATCGTGTTTGACTATTAAAGTCTCCAATGACTCGAGTTTCAACTGCTTCTCCGTAACAGAAAAAAAAATTGCGAGGTTGTCAAAAAAAGGGCGGATCTTATACAAGATAAGGATGTCTATCATGGGGATATTAGAAACCATAAGAGGTACGAAGATGGTTAAATTTGATAAAAGTTGAAAAAATTGAAAGTATTTGCCGATTTCGTTTTTATTTTATTTTTTTGGCGTTATTTAAAGAGAAATTAAAAAATAGAGGGCACTTTCTCGTTGCTACTTTTTGAGCTCTGCAAGATAAGGTTGAGAGATTTTAAGTAGTACGTTATGTTTCGGCGAAATTATTTACTTTATTTTTTTATATGATCCGTGAAAAAATTTCACCATGTATTAAATAGCATTTTTTATTACAAATACGGATGACGCAATATGATTCTACATTGTTTAAATAAAAAAAAGTTTCTTTTTAATTTAAAAAGATGAAATGATGGCTAAGTAAATCATGTCACATGTTAATTCATTAAACAAATTAGTTAAAACTAACTTGCTACAAAAAATATTAAATTATAAAGAATGTTCAAACAAGGGACCATTTTTTGACATTCACAGGTAACACCTTGTAACTGTCGATCTTAAAACATTTCTTGTTATGTTTTGAAAGGGTTCAAGAACTAATCTTCTCAGTTGACCCTCAGTCTCAAAAACTCGCTGATAAACATAATTTTTGAAATATAAAAAAATAGAGTGGAGTGGGGTCCGGCAATCGAGGGGGGGTCACGAAACTACGTAATTTTTCTGGAAATTTGTCCGGTAAGTACTTGCGCACGTACGCCGTCCGGTTGAAACTAACAGTTTCTAACTTTTGCAAGTGGTAAGTTATCCAAAGCTTCTTGAATTTGTGCTTCAAGAGATTGTGAAAAAAAGGGCCAATTAAATGTGTTCCAAAAATCAAAACCCATATAATAAACCCAAAGCGATGTTGATGTCTAGATATTCGATGTACTCATCTTTGGCCCAACAATTTCGCTAAAAAATTCCATTATTTGTTACCATACTTTCGTCCGACCAAAGAATCTTATGGGAAAAATTCTAAATTGAACGGGTGAAATTTTTTTCGTACGTTTTGTACGTTCTTTTTTTCTTACAGATGTTTCCGGATTTTCGGTTACAGCCTATATTATTTACTTTTTCTTTCCTAATTTAACCATCTTCATATCTCCTATGGTTAGTTTATGTCCCCATATTATATTTAATATTCCCATGATAGACATCCTTATCTTGGATGCACTGTATACGGTGTTGTATATCAAAAATTATAAGTACCGGATATCTCGCTTACTAGTAAACGTACAGGGATGCTACTTTTCCTGGAAACAAAAGATGCTGCTGGAAGCTTTGCATTTTGGGTTAGTCTAAAGCCTATTAGAAAAGGAAAATGTGGATTCGTTGTCATTTTTAGGCGGAATTCCGTTTGATACTTAGTTTTTTTCTGTCTTGAATTACTTTCGAGAAATCAGAATTTTTTAAAAGTTAAAATCAAATTTAATCTAAGATGGATCATTTTGTAAACCCCGTTCCAATATTTACAACAAAGAAAACAAGAATATTCAATATTCAATCGGGATAAATTCAAGTAGTAAAGTTCAAAGTAAAGTAAAAGATTCTGTTGGAATTAATTCACGGGTTCGAACAATCTCATATAATCTCTATAAGTTTCATGTGGTTCAAAACTAACAACCTGTTATATGGTCTGACCAAGTGCATTTCACTATTACTGGTACATTGAATCGACAAAATTCAAGATTTTGGTATCAAGAATATCAGCGTGTAATATTTCTAGGGGAACGGCAGTAGCCGTAGCACACACGTAGCGTAGCACAGTGTCGCGAAAAAACGCATCCCTTTATCTTTACTAATAAGTGTAAAAACATTGAAAAAAAGTTTAAATTAAATATTACCTCATATATGGTGTAACAAATATTTTATACAGTAATAATCTCCTTTAATAAAAATGTTTTTTGTTTTAAGTCAGCTTACTTTATTTATAAATGCTACAGGAAATGTCTAAAATTGTTAATAACTTTTATGGGCTACTAGGTATACTGAAATATTTGTGCCAAATCAAAAATTGTGGGATTGTAAAAGTTGAAAGTATCTTTTGATGTATTGAAGAAAGGCAGTTACTGACATTCATTCGCTTTTACTAGGCATTAAATTAAACATGCAACAAGTTAAGTAAAATGTTTTTCATAGTAAGTACCTCCTCCAAATCTTTGATCGTAATACCGGCCAGTATCGATATAAACAATTTATGTTTTATCCGGAGGGCCAGTTCGCTGTTAGCAACTTGGGCAATGGCGTCTTTAAGGATATGGGGTTTTACCGCCAAGAATATTATGTCACTTTCATTAACTACCACGGCATTATCCGTAGTCACGTTGGCACCAAGCTCCTTCCATGAATCCAAATTTCTTATGTACGGACTGGATACATAAACCTGGGAGTAATTTATTAGACCTGCAATGTGTAGTGTTCATTTGGTACTAAATAAAATTTAATTAAGAAAAAAATCTTGTATCTCAATCTGGCCTACACAATTTTAAACTGTAATATTTCTTTTATTTGGGTTTTGTGTCCAAGAAAAATCATCAACGTTCTAGTTCAACTTGAACTTTGAATTTTACTTAAAATTCAAATTAAATAGATTATTTTCGAACTGCGAAATCTGATAAATTAAAAAGACAAGACTTTTTTGAATGAATTTATCAAACCAGACATTGCAAATTTACACCAAATGAGTTTAAAAAGAAAAATTTAATCTAAACGTCCCAATGTGGATTGTTATAAATTAACCCATAATTTTTTTTTACTATAATCTTCCGAAATAGCTTTCATATTTTTGTAAAATCGCAAGAGATTTCAGCTGCAAATTTTATTAATGATCAATTATAATATGAACGAGTCACACTAATTGAAAGTAGCCAGTATGACAGTATGGAACACGGTGATAAACTTCTTCAGTGTGTCAGTTAATGATTTTTAAGCTTTATCTAAAAATATAGTATATTTTCAGTGTAGAACAATATCGTTTACTTGAACTGGACTACTGCCAATTTGTAACTTTAACATTCGTCACCTATTCACTTTGCAAATTATATTACCTTTCCCTTTAATGCTTTTGCAGATTGCTTTAGCCATTGCTCCATCACCAATAAAGCCTATTTTTTGCTTTATTTTTATGGAACTAGAGGTTGTTCCAAATTGGGAGTTGTAAATTATTATTTTAATCCCATTTTCAACAATTCTGAAACAATACGAATGGCTGTTTTGGTAAACAATATGAAATCAATTCATATGCCATTACAAAGGAGTACAAACAAATGATTGAATATTTTTTATTTTCAATCCTATCGTTTTGGTAAAAAAACTACTACAAAGAGGAACTACAAAATAGTACCACATATATCACTTAACACAAAATAAAAGTGTTGTTGCTAAAATATACTTATGTCCATATTAAAATACAGTACATTCGATGCGCCTCTCTTAATAAAATACATTCACACAAACTTTAAAAAAGATACATACATACAAAGTTGACATCACAATAATGGGTATGTGCAATACTAAAACATTAACAAAGAGGCCATTGAGCAGAATAATTATAATGAAACGAAATTTTACAACTTTTGTCAATGTTATTGAATGCTCAAACAGCACATTAGAGTACTGCAAAAAAAATGTGTAAGTAAATACATAAAATGATTTCATTATTTTTGTATGTATTCAAATGCATCAGGAAAACAAATGTAAATTTTTCTATAGTTTTGGCAATATTCCACAGCCTAAATACACTTTCGACAGTGAACCAGTGGAATTTATGTTAAACGATAAATATTTGTATTGTTTAAATTGAAACAACTTTTTTTGTGAGAATAAATTAATAAAAATTAAAAATTAGGAAACTGAAACAAATTCTTATAGCAATTTCAGTAACAATTAGTTATACAATTCTCAAACATATTGAAAATGTTCCTTTTAGAACTTTACCCCCAGCATCTGGAATAACAAATGCCTGACAAGTGTTGTTGGATTCTCTTTTTAGTATTTTAAAATAAATAAAAATGAAGAAAATAGCCCACTTAAAATGTCTTTTTTTGGGTGCTTCTTTTCTGCTTAATTTAGTAGGTTCATTGTATAATGTGTAAATGTTAACTAATACCTAGAATGACCCTTCATTGGCAGATAAGTTAAATTCGCGAATTCCATAGAAAATAATACTCAAGACAAAGCATTTTATAAAATCCTGGACCTACTTTCAGTATAAAAATGTTATATCATCATTCACAGTGGTCGATTTTTTAGATTTATATTATGTAAGTTGTAGAATTTTATTGCACTAATGGCATGGACATCATATTCATGTGAATTTCTGACAGATCTTGATAAATCGTACGAAAACTAGGTCTATCTGAAGGTTTCTGTGCCCAACACTGTCTCATGATATCATACACACTTGGAGGAGTGTTCTCCGGACATGGCAAGACATTTCCTTCTTTAAGAAAGCAAATTACCTCCTCATGAGTTTGCCCATAATAAGGTTGTAGAGCGAAGGAAAATATTTCCCACAAACAAACACCAAAAGCCCACACATCAGATTCTGGAGTATATTTATTGTATAAAACGCTTTCTAAAGGCATCCATCTCACTGGAATTGCATCTCTATCACTACCTTTGTAATAATCTTGCAGATAAATCTTTTGGGATAAACCAAAATCAGCAATTTTAACTACCATTTCATCATTGATGAGGCAATTGCGTGTTGCCAAATCTCTGTGAACAAATTTTCTGTCAGATAGGTAAACCATACCCGATGCAATTTGCAAAGCAATTTTAATCTGTTCCGAATGGGCTAAGTGGTTATCTCTATAAATATCTCTATTGGGATATTCACCAGTTATGGCATTTCTCACAACATAATTTGTTGGCGAACATTGCCTCAAGAACTCATTGAGATCACCTTTACCCATGTACTCGAACAATAAACACATGGGCCGTCCCACAGCACAAACACCCAATAATTTAACAATGTTGGGATGGTCAAACTCAGCTAACAAGCAGGCTTCTTTTTCAAAATCTTCTTGCATATCTTCAGAAGCATCATCTTTAAGCATTTTGACTGCTACAACTGTGAACTCTTCCCCAGGTATCAAGCCTGGAGCTTTAGCTTGAAACACACTGCCAAATGCACCCTGCCCTAAGTCACGAATGTAAATTATATCATTACGAGGATATTCCAATTTTTCCAATTTTGGATTTAGTGGCACCCCATGTCGATGGTATTGAACATTGCTAGGAAGTTTATCCAAATCAATATTAATTTCTGATGTTTCTGGAGCATTATAGCCCAGAAGACGCTTCTTGTGAAACCTGTGGCATAATAGTATAAGCAGAAGGCAAAATACCAACAGTAGCAGACCTAAACCTGACACTGCAATTAAAAATGTAGGTGTTAAATACTTCTCCATTGTTATCCCAGGAGATTCAGTTTCATCAGATGTGGAATTTAAACATTTTGGAATATCACAATATTGCCATCTAATTGCTGGATTTGTAGTAAAGCACCATGGTTTCTTCTCTTCTCCTCCTGCATTTCGGCAAAAATTTTCAGAAAAAGTTAGTTCTGGAAACACATCAGGTGGCGAATTGTGTGCTTGAGGCTCCTGTGAATCCCATCTTTGGCAAGGAATCCCCTCTTTGGTAACATTAACTCTCCCTTGGTAATATCGGCCTCTTCCTTTCACGCAATCATAAGTAATTTCACTTTGTTTCATCTCAGTGAGCCCAGCATAGGAACATACAGATCCCTTAGCTTCCTCTTTGTATTTAGGTAAAACATCACAGTCTGGCAAACGAAAATGTCCCCTTGATTTTATATAAATTCCATTAGCCTTCTTATCTTCTATAACTGCCCATTCTTTGTAGCAAAATAATTCTTTTACAGCTATGCAGTCTTGATAACACAGTGGCAAGGGCATTGTAACATTACATTCAGGAAAAGCATAAACACATAAAATTTTTTCTGCTGCACTTCTGCAAGGCTCTTCAAAAGTTGAAATCATTTCATCCCACAATGCCGTTGTTATTTGTTCATTTTCGTATCCGCCTGAATTGTTGTACCAAACATGTTTTGTGTGATCAACATAATTTTTACAGATATTTCCATGATAAGGGCCACAAAACCCTTGCAAGCTTGCTCTCTGTATTTTAAATAAATAAAAAAGGATGAAAATAGTTTTCATATTTGAACGGTTTGTTTTAAGATAGCATTTTTGTATTTTTAGAAAAAAGTGAAGACATTAAAATTTAAAAAATATTTTGGGACACTCAGACTTTTTACAACTCAACGCCATATTTATTATAAATATCATAGTATAGACAAGAGAAATATTGGTTAGCAAGACTTAGTAGAGAGACAGCGAGAGAGACAATCCTCTTCGCTCTCAAAGCATGCATAACAATAAAGGAATAAAATTCTGTGCTCAGTGCATACAAATCACGGATAAATGGGTTTTATCCATGGTTGATAGAGAAAGGTTAATTAAAAGTTAAACATGTTAACGATCTTGCTAGGTCAATAATAGAATTTAATACAAAATTTCTTTCAACTTGTGGAGTATTACGTACTGGACAAACGAACAAACGGTCAATATATAAAATGTTTATACATTATAAAAGAGTAAAGGAGACAAACCTTGACGATCCCGTCAGCTTTCTTAAGAAAAACATTTTGAATTATTATTTTGAACACCTCAGGCCTAGACAAAACAAATTAAAAATACTTTCGGCAAAAGGTTAAACTACGAAAATAGTTCATTAACGGGCTCCACTGCAAAAACGTCAAATGTCGCTTGTGTGCTGTACCTTAAGTCGTCTTCACAATAAATGAAGATCAAGGTTAACTCGGATGGAGCAATAACAGATTGGGATGGATTAATTCGCGCGCGTTTGAAAATTAATTCCACCGAATTATCTTAAACCCGCCTTTCTTTTCCGGATCGGGAACAATATTTCTCCAAATCATTTTTTTCTTTCAAGTCCTTCCAAATAAACTCGAACTTAATTAACTAAAAGAACCATGGTCAATCTCTCTCGATACTATTATGAAATCGATTCTAATCTGCTAGGCGCAAGGTAGATGCGAGACAACCTTCCGTACCAAAAACCAATATGGTGCCAAAGGTCAGATTTATACAAGTTTCAAGCCTTATTTTTATATGACAATTAAACTGTTTCACGCTTTCATTTTTTTCTTTTATTGCAATAAATTTGGACAAATTTTGTAACAAACTAATAGCAAGTTTTGCTTGATTATTAACAGTCAGTTTAACAAACATGTTCTATTAATAATACACTGATAAATTATTTTCTTAATGGAATTTATCCGTGTTTCTCCTGAGCTAGTTCCTGTGATCGTTTTGTTGCAGCTTCAATTGCATCCATCAAGGCCCCTCTAAAATAAAATTCAATTACATTTTTTAAATAGAAAATTGTTATACCTGTACCTTACTCCACCAGATTCAAGTTTATGGATGCCAGCTATGGTGGTTCCACCAGCGGAACATACTTCATCCTTCAATTGTCCTGTGTGTTTTCCTGATTCCAAAGACATTTTAGCTGCGCCTAATACAGTTTGCGCAGCAAATTCAACTGCAAGATTTCTAGGAACACCTTGCTTGACTCCACCATCAGCAAGGGCTTCTAGTATTAAATAAACCTGTAAAAAAAGAGCAGACAAATCCCTAATCGGCCTTCAAAATTTGTAGATATACATACAAATGCCGGACCACTACCAGCTAAAGCACCAATGGCATTAATAAGGGATTCCGGAACTTGCTGGCAAACACCAGAAACTTCAAACATTTTTTTGACCAGACTAATATCAGATGGAGAAGCCTTAGGACCTGCAGAAAATACTGTGCAACCCTCACCAACCATTATTGGAGTGTTTGGCATTACCCGAATTATTCGCGCACACTCCTCTAAAGGGCACAGAACCTGAAAATGTTTGTAGCATACATACATTCATTTATAAATTTCTACAGTATTATTGTAGAATTATAACAACTTTTTTGATTATAAAGTTTCTGTGGTGCAAATCTTAATTTCAGAAAGAGACCCATCAATATTTATCTAATTACTTGGAATTTATTTCTTATACAGTGTGTCCAAGATAAGGATGCACAGCATGGGGATCTCGGAAACTATAAGAGATACAGTGTCGGTTAAATTAGACAAAAGTTGCGCATTTTGATACCGAACAAGATCCCGTTTTACAAATTTGAAAATTCCAAGCCGTTCCGGAAATATCCGAGAAAAACCGAAATATTGCGATTTCGTTTTTATTATTTTTTAAAGCTATTTGAAAAGATATGAAAAAACGGAAAACACTTTTCCATTGGCACTTTTTAATCTCTCCAAATTGACGTTAACAAATTTTCATTACAGCGTTTCGATTCCATGGAACCACCATCAACTTTGATTTTTCTTATGGGACGGAAAAAAAGTACACACAGTATTAGGTTGTGCTTTTCATTGCGAATTCAACGATGTACGATACAATACGGTTACTTATGTATTTATCCAGAAAAATGGCTTTTTAATACATTTCTAGTATTTTATTATAGTAGGCCATGAGATCCGAACGATGAAAGGCAAAAGAAAATGGTTGACAAGTTCGAGTTAATGTATTTATTTATTTACTAACTCTAACTGTTCATTTAACATAACAACTAAATCCAACAAGTTAATGAAAAACAAATTCTATAACAAATGTTCGAATAAATGACCTCCATTTTCTAGGCATAAGTACGCCCGTCTCACGGTAGACTCCAAAACACGACTTAACATTTCAGGAGTAATTTTATTAAACGCTGCTCGTACTGATTGACGTAATTGTTCCTCGTTGTCAAAACATTCTTTGAATACCTCATTTTTTATGTAGCCCCATAAGAAAAAGTCAAAGGGAGTTAAGTCCGGGGACCTTGGAGGCCAAGGTGTTTCACTGTAAGTCCCAATGTATTTTCCATCGAACCGTTCATTTAAATATTGGCGAACTTCTCTGGAGTTATGGGCTGGGGCACCATCTTGTTGGAACCGGCAGCCTTGCACAGCGCCTAGCGGTAAATCATCTAAGGCATCTTCTACATCGTGCCTCAAGATGTCAAGGTACCGCTCGGAAGTTAAGGAATTATTATAGAAAATAGGGCCTATAATCTTGCTACCAAAAATCCCACACCAAATATTAAACCCAAAGCGAACTTGATGTCTGGATAGTCTATTAACACGTCGATTTTGATGCGACCAATAGTGTGTATTGCGCCTGTTATAAATACCGTTATTGGTCACCATACTTTCATCAGACCAAATCACTTTATATGGAAAATTAAAACTCTCATCACACATCCTGGTATGCCACTCACAAAAATGTCTACATCGTTCGTCGTCACCCGGTTTTAATCCTTGACATATTCTGAATTTGTAAGGCTTAAATTCATTTTTCCTTAAAATAAACTGAGCTGTAGATTTAGCTACCCCATTCTGGTCTTCAATTTCTCTGGTAGAAGTTTGTGGATTTTCGATAACAGATTGTAGAACAATGTATTGGTTTTCTTCATTGGAAGGTTTTTGTCGGGATAATGCAGGCTTCTTAAATGATCCATATTCTTTCAGATTAAATAACAAACGCCGAAAAATACTCTTGTCAGGTTGTCTCCGCTCTGGGTATTTGTTAGAATACGTACGCTCGGCTTCCACACAATTTCTTTGGCATCAGATGTAGCAAGACAGCATATCACATTTTTCTTCGTTTGTAAAATTACCTCCCTCCATTGTAGAACAAAATAAATTAGAAAAAGACAACAACAATAAAAATACAAAAACAATAACTAAAGGAATAAACTTATGATCGACTGATAACAAAGACAAATAACATTAATGTGTCATTGAAATTGACTGGATGTCATTTTGTCATGGCCTACTCCATTTAAATGCTGAAATGTATTAAAAATCCATTTTTCTGGATAAAAACATAAGTAACCGTATTGTATCGTACATCGTTGAATTCGCAATGAAAAGCACAACCTAATACTGTGTGTACTTTTTTTCCGTCCCATAAGAAAAATCAAAGTTGATGGTGGTTCCATGGAATCGAAACGCTGTAATGAAAATTTGTTAACGTCAATTTGGAGAGATTAAAAAGTGCCAATGGAAAAGTGTTTTCCGTTTTTTCATATCTTTTCAAATAGCTTTAAAAAATAATAAAAACGAAATCGCAATATTTCGGTTTTTCTCGGATATTTCCGGAACGGCTTGGAATTTTCAAATTTGTAAAACGGGATCTTGTTCGGTATCAAAATGCGCAACTTTTGTCTAATTTAACCGACACTGTATCTCTTATAGTTTCCGAGATCCCCATGCTGTGCATCCTTATCTTGGACACACTGTATATCCCTTATATATTTCTAATATTGCATACATTGCAAAGCTGCCCCTAATACAACACCAAACCTCCAATTTTTAACTTGAAATGATGAACAATGATTACAAAATCTGAAAATGATGTATATACTAACCAAACCTTTTGATATTTGTATACATGATTAATCCCAAACCTTCAAACACAACAAAAAATATGGGGACACTGGTTAGTTAGTGGGACAAATTTATTACCACATATCAACAGAGCAGTTATCAAAAAAATATGATGAATTTTAATATTACCGTTTAATGGCTTTGGAAATTTAAACATAATTATTTTATTAAAACAAAGTAATAGTTTAAATTCATCATAGTGTAACTATAATACTGTGTTAATTCCACTTGCATTTTCAAGCTGTTTCATCGGAATACCCGCCAAAATAGAAACAAAGAGCTTTGATTTAACAGGATGTTTAAGGGTGTCATATACACCAGCAATTGCAGTAGGCAATATGTGTGGCTTAAAGGCCAAAAATATTATATCTGCCTCTTGAACTACTCTACCATTTTCTGTATACACATGTGCACCTTTCTCTTTCCAGTATAACAGATTTTGAATATTCGGACCAGATACGTAAACTTGGGAATATCGTATTAAACCTAAAAAAATCGCTGATAACAAAATCTAATGTTAAAAGCAATACCCAACCTTTTCTGACAACACCTTCACAAATTGCCTTCGCCATATTACCTCCTCCAATAAACCCGATTTTTTCTTGAAATCCTAATTCTTCCATTTTATCGTCTGAGCACTCAATTCAAAACCTAATAATTTTTATTTATTACGGACTCCTTTGCCCTCTATTTAAAACAAAGATAATCATAGAATACAACAACATTAGTTTATGTGAGATAAAACATTGCTGCGAACCATCCATGGATAAGTCTATTTTCTTCCTTTTTATTATTGCCTCTGTTAAAAATCCTAGGATCATTCGCGCGTAGTACCGAGTAAGCAAAAATAAACAATGACGTTTCGACGACAACACAATACACTATAGACAAAATCGAACTGAAACTAAAAGATTTCTCCGAAAACTGCAGTTTCTGCAGTGAGCCTCGAGGAACGACCTGCGACGTGCAATACCACCCAGAATCCCATTATACCTCTGCCATTTATACTTGCCAGGTATAGCGCGAGGGCGTTGGACCTGCCCATTCGACGTGCCCGAGGTTATCGGTTCGATTCCCACCGGCAGCCTTGGGTGTTGTGTTTGTCGGGCATTAATATATACGAAACGTGCTTGGGCGGCCGTTAAAAAAAAGACGAGAGCGCATAATCACAACAAAAAAGTTTTGGGCGAGAATTGATTTACCTTTTTTTTATGTAGTTTTCTGTGGGCGATTGTAACTGACGGTTGAAGGCTTGAGAGGAAGAAGAGACGGGATGGAGAATAAAAGTTGCCCGACTGTATTACTGAAACGCATTATTGAATTGAATTGAATTGAGAGTAAAAGTGCACATGTTTGATAAGTGTTGTATTGATCAAAGACCGGTTGATAACAAAACAAAAACCACGGTTACTAGAATATTAAAATTTGTATTGGTGTATAAAATGTATTAGCATTTTGATGGTGTTATTATGACTTTTAAATGAAATGAATTTCCACTCCTGACTATTCTTTTCTATTGTATAATTTATCCAAAAGAAATAAATATATAATTTTTTTTAAATATCACCTAAATAATTGCAAAGAAAAGAAGAAGAAGAGGAAGGAGAGAACCTGCGAAATAAAAATAACTCAATGGAGAATATTAACGCCTATATATTATTTGGAGGTATATACTTGGTCTTGCTCTTTTTTGATGGGCTTTTAAAGGTAAAGCGCTTCCTATTCACATAAGAAACTTTTTACAATGCGTTCTTTTCAGTCGTGTCTGCACTATCCTTACATTAAGTTTTTAGAAGAGTTTAATATAAAGATAAATTATTTATCAGTTAAATGGAAGACTAAAGCTTTCAACCGAACTCTGATAAAATGGGGAAATAGTCGTCCAAAACTACTGAAGTGTTGGTTTTCTTTTGGTTCATACTGCTCAGTCTTTTTATTACCTATTTCTGTGTTCATATTGTTTTATAGTATATATCAAGCATTGTTTGGGGCTACCGAAACCACTGATGGTGGCAAAAGTGCTGTCATTGGAATAATTATACCTGGTCTCAATTTACCATTTTCAGAAGTGGGATATTACAGTGTAACTTTATTTATATGCAGTGCTATACATGAATTAGGTCACAGCTTAGCAGCTGTTCTAGAAGATGTTGCAGTTATTGATATTGGCTGTAACTTATATTTTTTACTACCGATTGCATATGTCAATATTGCCACTGAGAATTTTTTTTCACTTAGCTATAAGAGAAAATTAAATATTTTGTGTGCAGGAGTATGGCACAATATTTGTTTAACTTTTATTTTCTTGGGTGTATATTATTCGCTCCCCATGGTTTTTTCACCACTGTATAGTACAGGTCAAGGTGTTAGTGTTTCATATGTTGGCAATGATTCACCACTTAAATCTGAATTTATAGGTATAAATGTAAATGATGTGGTTTTAAGGATAAATGATTGTGAAATCAAAGATGAAAATACTTGGTACAACTGTCTGCAAAGAGAGCAGCTTTCAAAAACATCAATTTGCATTGAATCTGACACAATACACTCCTTAGATGAGAGTATACCATTGAGACACAATGCTATTGGCAGTATAGAGTGCTGTGATCCTAATAATAACAGAAATTTATGTTTTGAATATTTAGATAGAGGAAATGGAGTTTTGGAGTTGCCTAGTTACGCTTGCCTACCGGCCAGAAGTGTCTTAGAAACAACAAAACAATTTTGTACTATAGAACCACATTCATGCCCTAAAAATTTGTATTGTTTTAGACCCTTACTAGGTAATAACACTCACCTATTTAATATTGTGTGCACTAACAAACAAATTATTTATCTTGGTTCAGTTAATGATATTTGGGCAACTGTTGATGTTTCACCCTATATAAGTAAATCAAATATTTTTTCTGTACTAATTCCAGACACAGTAACGAAGTTATCTAGATACATTGTTGTTATCTCATTGGGATTGGCTTTTGTGAATATATTACCGATCACCTTTATGGATGGTGATTACATAATAACGACATTGTGTCTTTATATACTTAAGAAAAAGTTAGGTAGAAAGGCCTCACTGCTTTTAAGTTCTTTGCTAAAATGGTTTTTTACAATTATTTTAATAGTATTTCTGATATATTCTGTTATAAAGTTGTATTGATTATTAAATGACTTCAGGCACTTTTAAACTCCTTATCATACAGCCCTTGGAAAGAAAACAGTTTTTATCAGGAAATGAGTGTTTTATTCTAATGTCAAAAAATCTTTAAAAAATAAATTTTCTTGTCTAGATAAAGCATATTTATTTAATAAATTTTCTACGTAAGACATTTGTATTATCTATTTTAACATTTGAGTACCTAGTGCACTTTTGTTTTCTTTTATTAATATTTACAATAATTTCTCTTGGCACACATTATTTTGACAAGCTTATATTATTTTCTAATTCTCTTAAACATCTTTGACCATATTGCAAGTACATTTTAATAACAACTTCATCCCTATGATGAGAATTTGTTCTGAAATCTCGTCTGGCCCACTGCTTTAATTCTTCTTGATAATGTTTATCAGCAACATTTTTTATTGCTCTAAAGATATTCCTATAAAGTTTTTTTACCTCTTGTTTTAATATAAACTGTAATGGAAAACTAGTAACTTAAAAGGCATACATTTATTTGTCTACATTTACATACCTGCTGGAGACTTAAAACAGGCTTATTCATTGGTTTACATGTATCATTAAATGATAAGCTATTTTATACTTATGTGATTAGATGAGGTTCTTCTTCTTTCTTGATAAACGGCCAAAACCGTGATTATATTTTTTTCGTGTTTAACGGTAAGCAATTGATTGATCTAAGGAGAATTGTACGGAAAATATAAATTCCTATGGTTTTATTAAACTTTTATATATAAATATTTTATTTCAGTTCTAAATCAGTTGCTTGGAAGCTCAGGATACTCGCAGAAGAGGTTTGAGTTTGGAGGTTATCTTCTAAATTCAAATAATTTTAAATATGCACAAATGCCTACGAAGTGTTTTTAAAGCATATATGGATATGGATTATCACAATGGGCATATCCTAACTCTCGCCAACAGTATTATTGGAGTAAGCATCTTAGCGATGCCTTATTGCTTTAAGCAATGTGGCATTATTTTAGCTCTAGTATTGCTATTTTTAAGCAATCTGTTAGCGAGGTTGGCATGTCATTTTTTAATCAAATCTGCCATAATAACGCGACGAAAAACGTTCGAGTATCTTGCGTTTAATATATTCGGCAAATTTGGAAAATTTGCTATCGAAGTTGGAATGATTGGCTTTTTACTAGGGACCTGTATAGCCTTTTTTGTTGTCATGGGTGACTTGGCACCCGCAATTATATCAGAGATCGCCGGTACCGAAACCAGCAGCGCTATGAGAACGAGTATATTAATGGCGTTAGCTTTGTTTTGTGTCTTACCCCTGGGACTGCTTAGAAATATTGACAGTCTAAGTGGTGTATCCAGTGCAACAATAGGATTCTACTTTTTTTTGGTGTTAATGATAATAGTTGAAGCCTTACCTCATTTTTTCTTGGGAGACTGGGTATATAAAGTTGAATTATGGCGGCCCGCTGGTATACTGCAATGTTTACCTATTTTTTCCATGGCGTTGTCTTGCCAGACGCAATTATTTGAAATATATCAGATTATGTATAATCCAACCCTAGAAAAAATGAATTATGTAGTCAAGATAGCCGTGCATATTTGCACACTTGTTTATTTTTTTGTTGGATCATTTGGGTATATTGCCTTTGTGCATAAGCCATTTACAGGAAATATATTATTGAGTTTTGCTCCATCCTATATTACCCATGTTATGAAAATAGGCTTTATAATGTCAATAGCTTTTAGCTTTCCTTTAGTAATATTTCCATGCAGAGGAAGTTTGTATTCATTACTTTATAGGGAAGGTTACTCCGTGCATGAAAGTATGAGTAACTACATTCCTGAAGGTAAATTCAAAGGACTAACACTGTTTATAGTATTTACATCTTTACTGCTGGGCATATTGATGCCAAATATTGAATTAGTTCTTGGATTAGTTGGTTCAACTATAGGTATAATAATCTGCTTATTGTTTCCTGTAATATGTTTCATATGTGTTTCACAGAAAAATACAAATGAGAGACTTGTGGCAAAATTTGTTGTTGTCATAGGGATTTTTCTGATGATTTTAGGAACATACAAAAATCTACAAGATTTTGACAAAGTTGATTCTCCTACTGTTGAGAATGTATTATCAGAAAGAAAACCTCTTTTATCATTTAGTATGATTGAACCCATTAACAATGCGGTGACAGATATTCAAAGAAAATACAATTTAACAAAAGTTACTGAAAGCCCTGAAGTAAGACATGAACCGCCACAGCCAATCGAATCATTTGAACATAAATCACATGATAATAAAAACCTAAATAAAAAGTTACCTACTGAAAATATGCTGAAGGTTGAAAAGATTGTAAAAGGGAAAAATAATCTTATTAAAAGTGAAAAAGGTTTACACAAAAATGAAAATTCTAATATAACAATAGAAGCCAAAAATGAAGAAGTTGATATAGAAGCTATAAAAAAGGATGACAATGAAATGAAACTGCAGAATAAAGAGGATTCTCACAGAATTCTAATAGATACTTTGCAGAAACAAAATAGAGTGCAGGAGCAAATAATGAAACAGCAGAAAAAATTGATAGAAGTGATAGAAAAACAACAGAAAAGTGTAAACGATGAGGTAAAAGTGAATGAAGAAAAGTTAAAAGCTGTAAAAGAAATTGAAAGTATTGCATTACAGGCAATAGAAAGGATAAGTGGCAATGATGATGTGAGCAAAAAATTATCTGAAGTACTAGAAAACAGAGTTAACATTGTTATGAATCGTACTATCAGTGAATCAGACACTAAAATTCAGAAGAAGATAAAACCTTTCTCAAAAGATTATGTTAATACATCAAGTGATTCACTACTAAAGAAAAAAGTCAGTAATTCCAGTTTATTTGTGAAGTCGGGTAAAAGAGAAGTCAGGAAAGAAATGGCGCCTCTATTTATAAATTTAGGAGCAAAAAGTAATAGCAGCAATCTAATAAAGGAAATACCTGTAACTGGAAAATTAATGCATAACATTTCATTGTTAAATTCTAAGGACTCTGTAAATGTGACAAAAATTAGTGTTACAGTTGATGATCCCTTAGTGGTTAGGAGAGATATTCTGTCCTATTCAGATAAAAGAAAATAAAGTTGGTTGAGGGCGAAATGTTTCTGTGATTTTATAATTTGTATATAGAATGTATAAAATGACAGGTTAATGTATATTTCTATTTTAAATAAGATAGACCCTATTGCTATACTAAAGTTGCCTATTATTAATTCCTTGTATTGAACATTTACTTTTTGTCTTAGTTTTTATATCATTCCGAATTATTGTGATTAATAAAATGTAAAATTAAAATAATTCATGTTACTAAAAACACTTCACAGAACCCAATAAATTTTGAATACAATAAAGTGACTTTGAATTTACTTTTAACTTTGTTCGAATTTTTTCTATTACAAACTAAATCATCTATGATATAAATATTTCCTGAATTTAGTGATTCATAGTTGGCGCTCAAGCCACGTGATCTGACCTTGATTTTTGACGTAGGAGAAGAGAATTCCACCCCTCCTTTGGGTCCATTTTTCCACGCATGTCAGCTGTGGAAGTTAAGTTTTAACAAAAACCAAAAAATGGTGGTTGGAATTAATCAAAAGTAGCCCGTTAACCGCAGAACGTTAAAAAGAAATTAAATAATACCGGTTGTTAATTCAAAAGTACGCTCATATTATGCGTAGTGGCACCGTAAACGGTTATTGTGACTTGTTGAACAATTTGCACTTCCATGGGCGGGTTCTGAACCAGTTGATAGTGAATGATGTCAATAGTCACTTGTTTATTTCGGTATTATTTTGTTATGTGTCGCACGCTGGATGTAAAATCATCGTCACGTCACTGAGAAACTGACTAATTTACTCCAATTAAAATTTGTCGGTAATAATTGAAATGCCTCTGGCAGAGTTGTTAACTCTTCAGCAAAAGAAGCAACATGTGACCCAAATCTAAAGTTTTGGTGTTTTGCAAATTAACTCTCCACGTTGCTTGAGTGGTGTCATTTTGCAAGGAGAGTAATAATAGAACTTAAGATGGAATTATTGTGACTCAAGTTTGGGTGATATGTTTTTTCACTAAAAAAAAGGTTCTTCCAGTAAAGGTAAGCATTTTTACAAAGTTTAATATTCTACAAAATAATATTTTAGGTCTATTTTCATAGCTTTTCATTAATTATTTAATTTTTAAAATTGAAAGAAACAGATATTATTATTAAATATTCGCTGCTAATATTGGCTATTATAACAGGCAAATTTTGACGCATTATATCAAAACAACTTCACAAGTTTCACAAGACGTCTTTTATGTTGTATTAAATAGATTATTATTTGATTGTTTCCGCAATAATTTGTTGAAGTTTTTTATTAGTTTCATTGATTAAGTGAATTTGGAAATAGACATATTTGGCAGAATAGTGTATTATAATACTGAAATAAGACTATTGTCATAATACCCTAAAACACTTTTTCATTTTTATTGTTAACTAAGAAACACCACTTGATTCCAGGTTACAAACAATGAAGCTTTAAAAATGTGTAATTTTTATATTAAACCCAACAAATGTAGATATAAGCCATTGTTCACATCTAAACTTAGAATTGTGTAGTTCATAACAATAAGGATCATGATGCCACCTTCAGAAAATAATCGTTATATTATCCAAGTATATGTGGGCTCACTAAGTAATCTTTATGAAGCCCTTTCAGTTGAAGCCAGTAAACAAACCACTGCCGAGGAAATAATATCATGTATTGTAGAAAGGTTGTCACTTAGCGAAAATGGTTCTTATGAACTTGCGGAGGTAAGTTATATAAATATACAATCTGTTTTAAAATATAATCCTTAAATTTCCTCTTCCTCAAGTACAAAATTGTGCTTGCAGTCATTTTCAAAAATTAAGATTATCCTATCACATTTTGCTATCACACTAATCTTCATAATCTTTGGGGATTTTGAGAGCAATAAAAATTCACTTATTTTAGAATTACCATTACTTTAATTAAACATTTAGAATATTGCCAACAAAAAAAATGTGTTCAATATAACCTTTATCCTCCTTTCCTGTTTGAAGCCCTTAAGTAAGGTTTAGGTTGTGACCAAATTTTAATACATTCTAATTAAAACTTAGGTAGGGCTTTAAGGCTTGCCTATCGCCTTATTAATTCTTTGTTTTTTTTTTTACTATAATAGGTTTAAGTTCTTTTTTTGTGTTCTCTTAATCACAAAAGTTACAATACATATTCTGTTATTTAGGTGATTGGAACTGATTTTGATAGAGAATGCAAGGAAAGAAGCCTTGCCAGTAATGAAAGTCCTGTTCAATTAATGATGTTATGGCCCAAAACGAGACCCGATAACGCTTCTTATCGGTTCTATTTGCGCGAGCGCGATGTCGACTATGCATGGCGCCATCAATTTGTCATGGACCCACAGCTTATTAAAGATTATTTTAACAGGTAAGCACTGGCTGTATTAGAAAGGCTAACAGCACATCATAAGCGTCCAATTCATTAAAAAATATATTCTTGCAGATTTCTATGCCAGCCCAAGGATCGTGAGTATCCTGATCTCTGCCAACTTCCAGATTTAAATGAACAAACTCTCTTAGAAAATCTAAGGGCGCGCTTTATCGCCGGTCACATCTACACTTATGTTCGTTCAATACTCATAGCTCTCAATCCATTTAGATTTTATCCAATTTATAACCCAAAATATGTTAAGTTATATCAAAATCGTCGTTTGGGACCCAATTTGCCACCACACATTTTTGCTGTTGCTGATTCAGCATATCATTGTATGCTTAAGGATCGAAAAAATCAGTGTATAGTGATCAGTGGGGAAAGTGGGTCAGGGAAAACGGAAAGCACGAACTTTTTATTACATCACTTGACAGCTCTAAGCCAAAAAGGTTCCCATGGCAGCGGAGTGGAGCAAACAATTTTAAGTGCTGGTCCAGTGTTGGAGGCTTTTGGAAACGCGAAAACGGCCCATAATAATAACTCCAGGTATTTGTTTTGCTTAATATGTCAGTAATATTATTAACAACATTTTTAGCTGAAGAATTACTCTTATATCAGGAAAGGTTTTATTCAAACCTACTTTGAAATTTTACTTTACCTTTAAGTTTCCCATTCACAGAAATATGCTAGATCTCACCCTTGAATCCATAAAAATAACAAAACCTGTGTTAAGATTTCAAACTGTTTTTTTCATTTTTCACCTCTTAAATGTTTTCCAAATACCAAAACTTTGTAGTAAAGCTCAGTTTCAGGAATGTTTAATTGGTTTAAAAAGTTGCAATTTGTCAATAGATATTTAATTTTAATATTATGAATATCTAGAATAACTAAACTATGTGCACACTATTGGACAAAAGTGAAGCAAGCTAGTGTTATATGTATAATGAAAGTGTCTTGAAATATCAGATAACAACATAACACATTTTCTTACAACCAATAGGATATAAATCGTTGGCTATAACTTTTTTATAACGCCACGCGTTGATGAAATTACGTTTTGGATAGTAATAATTATATACAGACCTATTTGATATTTTTAAACAATATCATTTCTCCCATTACAGCAACCTACGATGATCCTTCAAACTATGTAAGTTTTGATTTCAACGCTTCCGAGTTTAATTTTAAATATGTCAATATTTGACTTTTCCATAAAAGTTGCTTTACTTTTGTCCTATAGTGTATAAACTGGAAAGGAGATTTTCACTCTTAATTTAATTAATGTAATTTAATATTTTGTTATAATTTTTGACTTTTAACTGTTTTTTCTTAAAATACAAATTTTTTTCAAAATCCCCATTAATTTTACGACAAATTTGATCGTTTGCATCGTTCGTTTTATGCTGTTTCATTTTTAAAAATCTTTACTTTAAAAAGTGGCTGTTGATGCGTAGAGCGTCTGTGCCAAACTTGACTGGGAAACTATTGAAGTCATGATAAAATGAATATATTTTTCTAATTTTTAATGTTCTTTTAGTTGTGATTGCCTTATAAACTGCAGAATAGAAAAAAAAACGAAAAAGCAAATTGCCATTCAAAACTCAACTCTGTAAATTTCTAATGTTTTAGCCGTTTTGGGAAATTCATACAAGTAAATTACAAAGAAAATGGTATGGTCCATGGCGCGGTGGTGCAAAAGTATCTGCTGGAAAAGTCCAGAATATGTTGCCAAGGAAGATATGAACGCAACTACCATGTATTTTACTATCTACTTGAAGGGGCTAATGAACAAGAACGCCAACAGCTTCACCTTTTGAAACCAGAAAAATACTGTTACCTGAATAGGTCTTGTACCTCTTTAGACAATGTTGATGAGAGTTACGAGTTTTCCCGGTCAGTTTTCTTTTAAAGTTAAATAATTTAGGTGGTACATTTTCTTCATTTAGATTAAAGCAATCGATGGAGATGGTTGGGTTTACTCATGAAAAACAAAGACGACTGTTTTCTGTATTGTCGGCGGTGCTGCTCCTAGGCAATGTTGAATTCCAACCAAAAAAATCCGCGTATCATCACGACGAGGCTGTTTCGGTTAAAAATCCCGAAGTGGTATCTTTGATTTCTGAACTGTTGAGAGTCAAACAGGAAACGCTTATGCAAGCTCTAACTGCAAAACGAGCTAGAGCGTCAGGCGAAACGTTGGTGATTAATTATAAACTTCCGGAAGCTGTAGCTAGTAGGGATGCTATGGCGAAGTGCCTCTATGGCGCGTTATTCGACTGGATAGTGCTGCAAGTAAATCACGCTCTACTTTCCAAAAAGGACACATTTAGGGAGCACCAGGGCAACTCCATTGGCGTACTGGACATATTTGGTTTTGAAGATTTCGGACTGAACAATAGTTTTGAACAGCTGTGTATTAATTACGCCAATGAGCATTTGCAGTACTATTTTAACCAACACGTTTTCAAATATGAACAGGAAGAATACAGAAAGGAAGGTATTAGGTGGACCAATATAGACTTTATGGACAACACAGGATGTTTGCAATTAATTGAAGGAAAACCAAATGGACTTCTTTGTTTATTGGATGATCAATGCAAGTAAGCAAGTTAAAAAGGCTTCAACAGGATCGGTACTATAGTTTTTCATTTTGGGTTATAGTTTTCCAGGGGCGACAAATGAAACCTTACTTCAGAAATTTAATATGGTACATAAAGATAACAAATTTTACAAAAAACCGCAGAAAAGGGAAGCTGCCTTTATAGTTGAACATTATGCAGGCAAAGTTAAATATCAAGTGAGTGGAGTTGTTAATTGCGCCAATTTTTATTTGATTTGTTGATTTGAATATTTAAAGTTCCGCGGTTTTAAAAAATGGATTCCGCCATTTTGACCAAGTAGTAAGTTCGAATATAATACTTCTGCTTAATGAGAAATGGCGAAAATAGACATTACTCTCAATTTTTCATACAATGAGAATGGATTTTTTTTTTGTTAACTGCCATGTTCTAAGTGAGGGTAGTGATCTAATTGAATACCACATATTTTCGACTTACAAAGATTAGGTCACACAAAACATACATCAGTTTTTAGTTCGGTTAGTTACAGGCAGCAGTATACACTGCGCTTGCGCCAAAAATAAGTGTTTGTTCGAGTCTTTATGTACAGTTGTTTAATAGCACAAACCTTTTTAGTTTTTATAAGAAAGCAATGAAGTTATTATTTCATTTCATATCTTCTGCCATAAAAGTTTATATAGGGATGATTCTTTTGCGCTTAGGTAACGGACATGAGAGAAAAGAATTTGGATTTGATGCGTCAGGATATTGTTGGTGTATTAAAAAACAGTTCAATGGCGTTCGTAAGGGAACTGGTCGGTGTGGACCCAGTTGCAGTTTTTCGATGGGCAATTGTGAGGGCTTTCTTCAGAGCGCAGTTTGCATTTAGGGAGGCCGGAAAGAGACACAGACAGGGTAGAGTGGATGGCAATAGAAACAATATCCAGCAACGCTACAGGGGGTACCACACACCCAACGATAATATCATAAGGTAATTTTATCAAGAAACAAATAATTAGTGTGTAGCGAATAAAACTGGCTTTGTATTTCGTGAAAATGTTACAATGTTGCAACAAAAAGTAACGGCAAGTGGTATGCTTCAAGTTAAAAAAAAAAGGGTTTAGGATGTTTCCGTCTTTCCTTTAGCTTTTCTTTGGCGTTGACTAAGGGGCTTTCATTTTTTTTTTGTGGTCAGTTTTTTTTACCCGATATTTATTAAAACTATTCATTTTTGTTGTATCATTTATTTAGATGTGCAAAATTCAAGATACGCCAAATATTTATGGCATTTAACTTCTATAATAATATAACATTTTCTTTTAAGCGGCATTATTACCGAACTTTGCATTTGAGCCTGATTGCAGCATGGAATCATAAACAACTTAAATTTATATAACTGTAATTAATTATAGGTTGATGATAATTTTGAATAACATAGTTAGTGTCGGGACTCGTCAATTGGCTACCGTTAATTTACTGGTCGATTGACCGTCAATTCTTAATTGACTGGTTAATTGATCACTTCTTAATTGTCTAGTCAAAAATGTTTTAAATAACATCTTGCAATTGTAGAGTGATATCTATCATTATTTATAATAAATTATTATGCGCTTGTGATGTCCAATTTACATATAACGACTCCATATATTTACTTACATATATCGACTCTACAATATAAATAAATAAATTTAAATTTCACGGTATTTTAAAAATTATTTCGATGAATTGACCAGCCAATTGACACAAAAAAAAATTGACCGGTCAATTCCACAGCTCTATGCATAATATTTATTCATTAGCTACGAATTTCAACTTTTTCAACTTCTTTCAAACTGGACCATTGTTATAATGGCAGATTAAGCCCATATTAATCGCACCAAGTGTGGTCTTAATACATGCTTTGTAAATTTTAATTATTTTAAAATCTAGATTGTCTAGGATATGACTGGTTGAAAGCTAGACAGGCGTAGAACTTGACATTTGCTCGTCTTAAAATAACAGAGTGAATGATGTGTGAATGACAACCCAAGCTTCACCTTCCAGCGTGCTCGTTATTTTTATTTGCCTTTGTGGTAACTGCTCCAACTCGGCCACACTTCTCAACGCCATGAAAAATAAAATATGTGATGGACTTTAATTGGTTGATATAACAAGCATGTTCAAAATAAATTAATAGTCTCTACTGATCAATATTGACAAGTCTTGTACATATACTTGGTTTATTTTTTGTTGCTATATTGTTTTAAAATAAGGTAAAAAGCCAAGTACAGAATAATTCACGTTTTTTACACAATTTCCAATTGTGTAGCCATCTGGTGACAGTTTCGGCTGTGAACCTCACAGTAAACAGAATTGCGTAAGTTTAAATCAAGCAATATGTACTGTTTTTTCTCTCGTTTCACATTTCCCCATTGTTGTAATACAAACGAACGATTTTTGTTTCCTAAAGCGTTTGATGTTAAAATCATGCGTGCGTCGATGGTTTTACAATATTCATCAATGAAATTTGGATTACTGTTTTCATTACATTCGAATTTAGCATGAATGTGAAACGCATGCTCGCTTTGTGTTTGTTATAATGCTCCCTGCAACGTTAAATTGTTGACAAATGTTTCACCCATGAAAAAAAAACTTATTTCTTGCGAAAGTAAAACCCAAAGATTACCTATGATCTACTGAGTCTCTCTTCGCCATGGTTAACTTTTAAAATTACATATCAGCAAACAGCGAAACTCCACATCTGGTTCTTATCGTTCGTCGGACGAACCGTCTAATCGACTTTCTTGGCCTCAATTTTACCAACGTAATCGAACGTCGAGTGGCTCTGCCATTGGGAAAATAGCGGCAGATGAGAGAAGACGACACGAAACACATACTAACTCAGGAACCGCAGCGTTAGAAAAAGTTTTATGTCCTGACGAGGCTAGGGCCATTCAAAGAGCGAACCAGATTGTGATGTATGTGAATAAATATTCTTTGCAAATGGTGGCGGTTTAACAAATTTTGGTATACCCTCTAATATATTTATTGATATTTATTCGACACAAAACCGGACTAGTGAATGACTTCAACTTTAGGAGTTGATTTTGTCAACAATTTTCTTAAATACTGTGATTATGCTTGTGCATGTGTTATGCGGTGTAATAACAATTATCTTAATAAGTTTTGTACTTCATTTAAAAAAATGTCTTTCCACTATTATTTTTAATCTGTCTGTGTTAAATTTCTTAACTTTTTAACTGTTTAACTTGAAACGCAAGAAGTTAACTCTTTCTCTACTACTCGCGTTTTCATACTAATCACTTATTTTTTATGAAAGAAAAAAGCAATGCTATTTGTATTTCACTTTTATCTGTTGCTATTTGTTGGCGGTGCTTTAGTTAGTTTACTGCATCTGCGCTCTTTATCTTATCAAAACGCGCTTAATAATAAGTGATTGAATAAGCATGTGATTATGTTCATCAAGTACAATGCATCCCAAATTGGCTTGCCTCTATAAGGTTTGTCCAAGTGAGTCCAACCCGAGTCACTGAACCTAGAATTAAAACACCTAATATCTGCCTCTTTCTCTCTAATAATTTCCACATTAGAGATATTAAACGTTTCATCACAACCTCCCAAGTAAAATGAGGCAACTTGGCACTATGATCCTTACATTCAAAATATCCCGACTACATATTAAAAGTTCTTAAGAAATAGAATGTTAAAATCCAATTTACCAATTGCTCAAAAATCTCTCAACATCTTCGTTCCATCCAAAATTCCATTTGAGACACCAGAAAACAAATAAACTCATTATCAAAATTCCTGGATGTAATCAATTCTTCTACCAAAGAAATCTCTTAAACAACCAAGCAATCTTAACCGCGACTCAGTTCTTTACTTTTCACCAATACTGGAATCAGTCATCCCAGACAAGAAGCAGGTACCGAATAGCAATTTAGATTTATCAAAAACCGATTCAGAAGGTACTCCAGAAGTAAGTAGTAAAGATTGACATTTCTAATTTTGTTAGTTTACCGTTTTTCAGTTATAACAACATACATTTTCCTAAATGGATCCACTGTATTATGCCATTAAATAGTGCTAATTTTTCTTTTTTCAATGATGTTTTCGTTTGTTTGTATGTTTGTCTGTTTTATTTTTTTTGCTTAATGTAAATACAATTATAAAATGCTACCTAAAAATTTAATGTATTTTATTGTATGCGGACCACGATGGTCACGAAACGTCCCCGTGCGTTTCTATATATTGCTGACTGAATGTTCCTTAAAACTCTCACAATTATGCAGCATTATGTGCAGAAATGTGCTGTTTCCAAGTACTCTTTTCTAACGATTTCACAACTGTAGCCCTATGATTTTCAAATATTTATGTGCAGTTACACCTGCCTTTTATATGGCTTTACCACTAAAAACTAAAGAAGATACACTAACTCTAAGTCTTACCTTGTGTTGTCATTCTTACCTACCATTTTATTGATATAGTTCTTAATTTTTCAAAATTTTGTATATTCATGTTAGTAGTATCTCTCTGGTCCGCAAGATGCCGTATAGGGAACAACGAATTTGGGTGCATTTTCCTTAAAATTAGAATAATCTACTAGGTGTTGGTTTAGCATGGATACGTACGAACGTCCGTTGTTAAGTGGGTGACAAATGAACGCGTTTTTTTCTATCAGGAAGAACAAGTCGTTTCGGCCGAGGGAACGTAGCAAAAAAGGTCTGAAAAATTTGCAGTCAGTGAAAACTCTTGCCGGAAGGACTGGTCTAACTAATCAGGCTCAAATCGGCAAAGCGAGAAAGCAGCCCTTGACCGTGGCCGCGCAGTTTCAACAGTCTTTACATTCTTTGATGGACACATTAAATCAGGCGAATCCGTTTTTTATCAGATGTATTAAATCAAATGCCAATAAAATACCAAACACGTTTGACGCCGAAACAGTTCAAAGACAGTTGAGGTAGGTATCCTAAGGAGGAACTGGCTCTCGTAATTAAGTACGAGACTTTCTTACAGGTATACTGGCATGTTGGAAACTGTACGCATCAGACAAGCTGGTTTTAATGTGAGATTGACTTATGATGAATTCATTCAACTCTACAGAATTCTGCTTCCAAAACGTTTATTGAGTTCTCAAAGCGATGTCAGGGATTTTCTGGCCACTTTGAATCTAAATAGAGACAATTATCAATTAGGTAATTTATTTGACAATATAAAACGTCGTATTCGTCAACTTGAAAACTTTGCGTTTTAGGAAGTACTAAAGTTTTTATGAGAGAATCGGAAAAGCATAAGCTCGATTGTAAGTTACACCAACAAATTATGTCGGCAATAGTAACATTACAAAGGTGGTTTCGAGCGTGCCTGGAACGAAGGCGATATCAAAGAATGCGGGTAATTGTTTTTCTTCTTTTTTACTTTTGAAATTAGATATTCTTCGAAGATGTGTAGAACGAAATCACATGGATCGTGTTTGGGCTAATGTATGGAAATGGTGTCTTGCTTTTCATAGTGGAAATTGTATGTTCATTGGGATTCAAACTTATTCTATTATATGATATTCTAAACAAATGTTATAATCGAGCGCATATTCACCATCAATTACCTTGTGCACACTAGAGATATACTGTCTTAGCGCTTTGTTTTGGATATGATAATTTGAGAATTTAATAGGTGAGAACAAAATTTAAGTTTCTTTCTTCTCTGTTAACGAGATTCAAATTCATTTGTTCAGTACTTTACTAATGTTCTAGATTACTGGCGTCATCCCTGTACACTTCTACTCTCATTAAGGTAACGGTGATTTGCTTCATAGGATTTGTGTTGTTCATATTTTTGTGGTATCTAACTAAAATAGTTGCAGTAAAATGTTTTAAGTTAGCGGCAAATAGATTTAGTTGTGGAAATAACTACACAACTAACAATAAAACATATATGGTGGTATTATTCAGTCTTAATTCTTTCAGTCATTGTACTTCAAGATATAAAATCCGTGATCTTTGTGTTGTTTGATTTGCTTGTTAATTTTTGGTGTTGATAGTTGTGTACCACTAACTTGGGTTCCCCCTGGAAGGATAAATATTACACACTTAAAAAATTATGGCTATATAGACTGATTCTCAATTCAGCTGATTCAGATTACGTTCTTTTAGTTTTTGTCTTTTTAGCAATTGAATTTGTCCCAACTTGGTTTGTTAGTTTTTACTATATCCAAGTATTCTTGTGTTTTTGTCCTTTAATGTGAAACATAAAGTAATATTTTTGTTAATATCCATTGTTTTTTGTGTTCCCTTTGCAACCAGAAGTAGAAATAACTGGATATTTTTGAAAAGCCCATCCTGAGTAATATTCATATTTTATTTGTTAGAAATAAAAACTCTAAAGGGTAACTATAATTAAAAATGCCAAAAATAACAATCGTTTGTTTACAGCTACCAATCTACTGTGACATTCACAAATTCTTACAATGTGTAACTGATCTGTAAAATGTACCTAATATATCCCAATTTGGTTTCATTAGCGGATTTCGCTTTTAGATGGCGGCTGTAATTATCCAATCATACTGTCGTATGTTTCTGATACAGAAACAGTTTAGAAGGCTTATGGCGGCTATAAAAATTCAGAAACTCTGGAGAGGTTACAGGATTCGTAGTCGCCTGCACAAATTAAGAATGGGAATTATTAAATTCCAAGCCCATTGCAGGGGGTTTAAAGTTAGGCAGATCATTGCCGAACATAAAGCTCGGGGATATGTTTCTCATAGAAAGGTACAGGTTAGTTAAATAGTATTGAAATGAGGCTTAAATAATTTTGCATAATTCATATATACAGAGCGCCAGGGCTTTACCTATTCACATACAGGTGAAGCAACTTAGTTCTGATGAGGCTTTTGTAAGCAAGGAATCCAGCCAAGAGGAATTAAGAATCGAAAGTGCTGAAAAGAAATTTTTGGACTCTGATGAGTATGTTCATATAACAATTTAAATGAATTGTGTAAGTTGCATTAGTGACTAACCAAATTTTTGAACTTCAAGGAGCAGTGGTATTCAAGACGATTTAGACAATGCCAACCACAACAAAGCAGTTTTAAGGACCACTTTGTCTTTGCCAATGGTGTCACCTACTCATCCATTTAATTATCAGTCCTACATGAATAATCCAGGGAATAGCAATAGGTATAAGTTTATAATTGCTTATCATCTATTTAAATTTTTCGGTAGCATCATTTTCGCGATTTCTTCTCTATTCCGGCAGTCTAGCTGGTCAGGTTACGCTAGTCTGTACTAGAGTAAAGTTTCGATAAAATTTCTTAAATCGCATGTTACTTTAATTACTTCTTTGTGAAAAATGTTTTGTTTCGGTTTTTATTTAACCATATCCCCTTACTATCTCTTATTACCTTAAAAAAATTCTAGTTCAAGATATTGAGTTAAGAATAATATACGTATACCAATATGATTAAATCTGGCGAGCAATAGCGATGACAAAAATGATTTTTATTCCGTAATGTGAAAATGCATTTTATTTTTTTCCCTGTAGGTTGGAATCGGAAAAGTCGGTAGAATCTTTGCGAAAAAGAATTACCAAACATCAGCAAACTATTGACTATTCCGACCTTGATTACATACCACAGAGAAAAGACAGCGGCGAATCTCTCGAGTCTCAACATAGCTATGAATCCCAACAAAGTGTTGATTCGTCCCACTTTAGTCAACCGATTCCAGAATCGATTCCATCAGAGGGGGCCCATCTTGGAAAGCAATGGTCTTCTACTAGCACCACTAGCGACCCATTTTCAGAAAGTGTACCTGTACAATCGGCTCCGTCGAATATTACGGAACAGTTTGACGAATTCAATGTTAAACCTCAATTGACCCGAACGTCTGCCGTTAACTGGGCGGCGCCGGCGGTTCGAAGGGAGAAACTTAGGAACTTCCCTATTAGAAGACCACACAGGTTTGTGTTTGCTGATTTTAAGCCGTGCCGATACTTTCGTTTTAATAGATGACTCGATGCATAGAACAATATCGTTGTTACAGGTATTCAGACGATAGACCGGACGTATATCCATACGACTCGGCGCCAAACAAGTTAGAAGAGATATTGGGTAGGCCGGAAGCTCCAGTTAGGAGCACGCGCAAATCAAAACGTGGCCACGTAAAGAGTTTGGGTGAAGAAGTGACGGATTCGGGGAGTTTAGATAAAAACTCCATTCTGGGAACGATCAGCGAAAACAAGGCGCATTCGGAGTTGAGCAGGATTCCGGCGCCTCATCAGGAAAACGTGAATAAAGCGACGTCAACCCCCAAAAGACAAAGACAGAATCTGTCTCAAATCGATTTAAGGCGCAGAAATAGCGATCCCGCAACCAAGGTTTTAATCAACGAACATCCTAGCGGTTTGGATATTAGTCCCGTGATGAAGTCAATGGACAAATGGAGCGATATCAATACACTCTCCCTGGCGGGCCACACGTTTAGGAAAATTTCGCGTATATCTAAAGATGACACGTGCTCTTTTTGCAAGCAAAAACTGGACATGTTCATAACGCAAGGCTACAAATGCACCATATGTAAAAAATTGTTCCACACAAAGTGTATTCAAAATAAAGGCGTGTTTGAAATGCCCTGCGAAAGCCACCGTTCCGCCACGGATAGGCGGAAACACAGGAAACATTCACGCACGGCGTACGATATGCACAAATCGGAAGAAAACAAGTTTAGCCTTACTGGCACATCGGAGTTTACAGATAGGACGGACCAAATAATTACCGGAGCGGAGGAGCTTACTCTCATGCAGGAGTTCATAACCGAAAAGATTATGAAGATAGAAGACGACGGCGGAAAATCGAGCGAAGTGGACAAAGTTTTCAAACAGGCATTAAGGGAGTTTAAAGATAATTTGGTGCAGATGTACAGCGCGGTCGCCAAGCATCACGGAATAGAAGCGTGCAATATACGTTACAAGGATTTAATCAGCGTGTTTAATCAGTCGATGGAAACCGTTTGCCAGAGGGAACTGAGGCAAGGGGAAACCAAAGATTTCCCAATAACCTTGGGCGTAAACGCTTTCCGAGGTTTTATGAACGAATTTATGTCGACGAAAGCAGAGGAGAAACCGAGCAAGGCGAAGCGCAAAAAAGAAAAGAAGCGCAAAGTGGAAACGTACAAGTTTAACGGGCATACATTCTTGCAGACAATCATTAATATTCAGACCGCGTGCGAAATTTGCAATTCGTTTTTCATGTGGCCGATCGAACGGGGATTGGTTTGCCAAAGTTGCAAGCTCACATGTCACAAAAAGTGTTACACCAACTCTAGTCATTGCCAAAAGGAGCCCGGCATCCCGGGCGACAGTAAAAGAGTATTCGGTGTGGCCTTAGTGACCCTCGTTACGGAAGAACACAAAATACCTTTTGTCGTAGAGAGACTCATGTATACCATAGAACTTCGCGGTTTGTACATAGAAGGTATTTATAGGAAATCGGGAGTTAGCTCCAAGATAAAAGAGTTAAAGACTGAGATGGATGAAAATCCTGAAAACTGTGACTTTGAGAAATATCAGGTACACGTCTTAGCGTCTGTATTGAAAAGTTTTCTCAGGGAAATGCCCGAACCGCTTTTAACATTTGAATATTATGATAATTTTATTACCGCAGCGAACCTTGATAACGAGACTGACAGAATAACGACTTTGTACGATATACTAAAGAAATTACCCTCCCCAAACTATGATCTGATGGAGAGGCTTATCTTTCATTTGGCCAGAGTGGCTCTTCACGAAGAAACCAATCGAATGAGCTCATCTTCCCTTGCTATTGTTTTCGCGCCGTGTGTGCTCAGGACCAATAAGCGAATGGCAGCCCAAGAGAGTCTGCATGATATTAGTAGTCAAACGCAGTGCATCGAGACCATTGTTAGGTATGTCGCGTTTTTTGTTTTTAGCAGTTTAGTTAGCGAATCTGCATGGCCTCCTTCCTGAAGTTCTCTATCGATTCCCTCTCTCCAGCTCTTGCGTGGTCTGCGTGGTTTCCTTCGTCCTTAAGGGTTTCAATTTAAAAAATTTTTGGGATTCGATATTGTGGCATTCTCTGTACGTGTCCATACCATATCAGCTGCTGAGTTCTAATTTCATCGATAATATCGTGTTTTATTTCCATGCTCCGTCCATGCTATCTCTTCTAGATTTTCCAGCCGCCCTTCTCCAGTAGTCCATCTCCGTGGCTCTTAGTGTTTTGTGTTTAAACGATTGAATTGTAAATTATTTGTTTGTTATTTAAATTTATATTTTTGTCCCATCGTGCAGAGTTGCGTCTTTGTCGATTTTCATTCCCAGGTAATTGTATTCACTGCGGTGTTTAATGGTTACTTGTCATAATCGTCGATCAATTTGATCGCTATGTATTCGATGTCATCCATATCTTGTGCAACGACAACTTGGTCATCCGCGAACGATAGAGTGTAAACTGTATACTGGTATTCCTATATTCTTGCACTTTCGCTTCCAAATCTTTAATGCATTTTCCAAATAAATTTTAAATAGCGTTGGAGACATGCAACAACCTTGTTTAAGGCCTTTGGTAACCCCAAATCCTGTTGTTAAACCATAACTTGTTTGCATTGTAAAGTCTCCCACAGGTTTATTAGGGGTACGCTGTCATACGCTTTTTTTATATCAACAAATAAGAGATGAACTTCTTGATTAAACGCTGTATTTTATGAGTCGTTTAAGTAAGAAAAAATGATCAATTGTGGATTTTCCTGCTCTAAAGCCTGCTGGTTTTTCTTGCTTTATATCAGCATATTTCCTTTCCATTCTATATTTTAGTATTTTTCCATATACAGTAGAGCTTCGGAAATCTGGAGTAATAAAAAGCGAGGCAATCCGGATTAGTGAAATATCCGGATTATTGGAATCTTTTTTAAAGCTATAAAAATTCACGAAATACACATTTTTGTAGCATTTATTTACACAAAAAATGTAAACAACTACTAAGACCTAAAAAATAAAAGAAAAAGAACACCCACACGCAGTTCTTACATCTACCGACATAGAACGACAATGAAAATAATGCAAATAAATGGTTTGCATTATTGTAAAATGTAACGCGTCGATACGGATATCGGTAATTGTTATAAGACTAACAATTAGGACTCATGAAACTAAGATAAAAAAAAAGATTTGTTTGTTCTATACTGCATTGTCTTGCTTGTATTGCGCGTTCTCTCATGACTCGTTACATGGATAAAACTTTCAGTTCAGCACCATTTTCTTGTGCAAACTGTATACATGTAGCAAAGCTACGAATAGCTTCCTCATTTTTAGTCACCCTCTTCACTGCCACTCTCACTGTGTAAGTGGTCATCATCGCCATCTATCTACTCCCTGATCTCTGTTTCTCGCAAAGGATTACTTTCAGTAGCAACAGTCTGTAGCATATTTCTAATTTCGGACAATTCTCTTTGCTCATTACTGGCATTTTCAAATCTTTAAATAGGTAAAGACAATGGAATCAAATCTTCAGGCTCTCAACCAGAGTTTGACTCACCAAGGTCTGGGTGAAAAAATATTTTGTTCCAACAAATCTGAATTACATTAGGACTTACTTTATCCCATGAACTAGCCAGCAGAAATACGCCATCTCTTAAATTAATGTTTTTTAGAGTGCTGAAAATGTCAGTTTCTTCAAAAGACAAAACATGAATTAATAAGGTTTTGCGGTAAAACATCTTAATGAGCCGGATTGCATTTTGATCCATCAGTTGGATTAAGGGCGTGGTATTAGTGATTTCAAGCATTATCAATCAATGAAAATGCTTTGCCGCTCATATTATTATCTTTCTGAAACGGTTTTACTTGTTGAAGAAAAGATTCATGAAACCATTTGACAAATACAGCTAAAGCCATCCACACTTTATTGCTAGCATGATATTCAACTGGAATGATACAATTCTTAAATGACCTCGGATTTTTTGATTTGCCAATAAGCATCATCTTTAGCTTATGCGATCCATCGCCATTTGCACAACAAACAAAAGTTATTCTTTCCTTAGACACTTTACGCCCAGCTGCCGAATTCTGTTTATGATGCATCAAAGTACGATCTGGCAACATTTTCCAGAACAGTGCTGATTCGTCTGCGTTGTAAAGCTGATTTGGTTCCACCTCCATCTCCCTAATTTTGTTGGTTAATTTTTTTTAAAATTTGGTTACACAACCACTACTTGCGTTAAAGTTGTTATCACCATAACATTTTGCATAAAGTTGTGTCGCCTTTTCTCTTAAAATATGGGATGTAATAGTTGCAGGTCTTTTCCGCTGCGTAATAAACCACCCGTGTAACTCAGTTTCCATTTGAGGATATTCTCCATTTCGCAGAGTTCTCTTACGGCCCGGTGCAGAAATACAATTTTCAATGTAGCTGAAACAAGACATAACATTAGTATAGAGGAATTCACTCACCTAAGGGTTTGTACAGTTTGTACCCAAAATGTCAAATAAGAAAACAAAAAAAATCTTTATTTTCTGATATTCACATACATTACGCTACATACTTAAAAATTCATGCTAGCTATACAATATACACACCTCTTTATTTGGCCAGATATCTGTTTTATGTCCGAAATAGTCGACGTACCAACTCCATATTTTATAGCCAATAGCTTGCCACTAACACAGTTTTTTAATTTTTCTAAAATATTTTATTTTTCCGCTAGCGTTAAAGTTTTGTGTGTTCTCTTTGGTGCCATAATGCTTTTTAATCTCTATGGAAATGTCGACTCGTCATTTGCGGCTTTTTAATAATTAGGGGATTCACCTAGACAACACCATAAAAGCTACACAGTTGCTTTTGTCTCCTTTTCTGTGAATGTTTCCAGCTGGTTTTATTGTTTCAACCAAAGAGTATAAGATAGTGGGGAAGGTCGCGGATACTGTTATGAATGTCATCTAATATTTGTCTCCAAGTATTAAAGATGCGTCACACTAAAAACACTACAGTGGCTTTTAACGGATAACAGCACTTTATTCATATTTTAATAAAAAATTCTCTAGGGTTAGCTTTGGCACTAGGCAGTTTGAGTGAAATATTACAGCTCCTTTATTTGCCTTTATTGTAACATAAAAAAATAATTTCAATAACAAAACGTGAGAACTTAAAGGATATAATTTTCGTCTTTAGGGTGCAGTTAAGAAAGCTCCGCCTCACGTTAGATGACATAGACACATTGGACACGGCTTGTCAAGCTGCTACGAATCGTTTGTCGTCTTTACGAAGTTCTAAAGTATTTAGTCCAGACGAATTGCTGCCTGCCAATCAACCATCTCAGCAGCAAGCAGAAGACGAAGAACATCTTTTAGTGGATCACATTCAAGAAATTCAAAAGGAGAAGGAGCATCTGACATCCACTTTGCCCACATTAACTCACGCTACATCTGACGACGATATGCTCTCAACAGATGGCGACGGTAGTCTGGACGATTTGTCTTGTATAGGCGAGCGAAACAGACCGCGACCTATTATTAGGTCCATATCTTCCGGAGAATCCAGATCTAACCTGCCGAGACTGAAAAGACAATCTTCGTCTGATACGAGCGCGAAAGTGTTAGAAGATTGTGATGATCCCATTATGGTGTAGATAGTGTATGTAAACGTTTGAACATTTACACGGTTTTGTATTTTTAAAATTGTCGTGACATATAAACTCTGAGAATATTGAGAGCTACATATACCAAAAGAAAATCCATGACAGTTGTTGTGTAAATTTTTAAAGCAAACATAAAAATGTATGTACAGAATAATGTATTGATTTTTCTAAAAAAATGTATTTTTATGTTGTTTTTGTTTTTAATTATTAAATATTTTAATTATGACAAATTGACTGATAAATTATTCATTACTCAATTTGATGTAGAGTTAACCTTATGGTTGTGTTTGTCTCGATTTCAGAGAGACATTGATATATTTTGAAACCATGAATGGTCGCGAAGTGTACATACATTTGCATTATTCACTGTGATTTAACGTCTATTATTTGTTATCTATTAATACTGGGCGGGGTAGAAAGTGACGTAAGTAATGAAGGTTCTAGTTAAAAGCCGAATTAAAAAATTATTTTGTATAATGCACAGAGAGTATTTTTTGACTCAAAGGCAAAAAAGGAGGCATGGTCCAGGTGTAGTGGTAGTAACTACAACAAATTAGCAAATTACTAAGTTGATCTTGAAAATGTAAGAATATAAACTTAATTTGATTTTTTTTTATTTTTCTTTTACATTGATGCAGTACTGAAATATTTGATTTGTATTTGTTACACCATTGTAATGGTAAATTCCAAGGTATTAACTAAGGCTGCATGATTCCTTAATTGGCTGTGGTAAATCGTTTATAAACTTCACTTTCACTTCATCTCAAATTTGTCCTAAACTGGGAGATTAGCTAACGGCTCAAGAGAACAAAAATGTGTTTTAGTTAAAATTCGGCTTTTAAGTTGGGCAGAAATGAGTTGCGCTGACTTAGGCCAGCCTTGTGTAAGAAAAAAATTTAGTTCAACTCTAATTTTCATTTCAGATTGATCTGTCATTTAGGGCTGTGACTTGTATAATCTTGATTAATTCTATTTAATTTTTGACAAAAAGTAACGGTGGTAAATATGTCAAAAATGTATTGCAAGATTACATTCTGTAAATAAGGTATTAAGAATATGAATATGTTTCTGTTTTGGTTCCAACCTGTTAAATAAAATGTATTAATCAAAATTCACATTAGCAGGAGTATGCAATCAAAGAATATTTTTTATTTAGTTTTCAAGTTTACCCCAGGTTATATGAGGGAAAAATCTCAATAACTCCCGTTTGGCTTAGTGAGTATCAACGACCGGAACTTGGGTAGGTCTATAGTTCAGTAAAATTGTTTTTCTGTTTAACTAAACTTCTCGAGACTCCAACGTTATTTTTTCCTTGTCAATTCTAATTTTACTGTTTGCTCCATGGTTCGGTGGTCCATGATTATCTTGTGACATGTTTATTTTTGTCCTGCGTCGGATATAGTTGTAAAGACTTATTTTCTTGCTAACAAATCATTAGCCACAAGAAATAAATTTGACGTTTTTATTAGAGGCGCAACAGAAAATGTTAAATTATTAAATTTTCCATATGCGTAAGTGTATCTCATATCTTCTTCTCAATAATGAACTCATTCCATTATTTCTATTCTAATAATTAAAACAATACTAGATAAAATTGAAACAAAAACAAACTTTCTCCCCAAGTAAATATGTAAGAAAAGGTATTGAAAATATTTTTAACTATTGTAGTATTTTCTAGTATATTTACTCAATCTATGTACATAATAATATTTCTTGTTCTTGTATAAATACTGTTACAGGGGACATCACCCCTACTTATGCCCAAAAATATTTGTAAATAAAAATGTTTAATATCGGATTGGCTGAAGTTTTTTTTTTAAATAATAGAAAAAACGTCATCTGATAAGTCAGGTCACTTACATTCCTATAATTGTAGCAAGGTGTTTCTATATTAGTTGCAAATTTATCTGTCCCCAGACAAGTATTATGCACCAAATTTGAAAAAAACTAATATAGTCAGAGCGGCTGTTAATAAACAAGTGACCGAAGAGGTTTATCAACCTGTTGCATACTATACATTTTATAGGAATATTACATTTTGGGTATATTTTTCCAAAACAGCATTGCGGGACATGACCATCAGAACGTGGCCAAACACTGACGAAGTTTGTGATTCTGCGCACGCTTGATTAGTGGGTATTTTAGACTAAGAAAGTAGAAAAAATAAATAAGAACTAAAAGTTCAGATTTTCACGAAACTATATATTTTTACATGACGATTATTTCCACAACACCGTGTCTTTATCAAATGTAATATTTACAAACTACCTGCTACTATATATACTAAAAAATAACCATAAAACCTTAATTAATTTTGTTGTGGGAATTTAAGTTCAATAAAGGAGAGGTATTTAAATCTAATTGATCGGTAAGCAATACATTTGAATGTCTCATTTTGTTAGTCATGAAAATTAACAAAATGAGACATTCAAATGTGTTGCTGAACGTTCAATTAGATTTAAATACCTCTCCTTTATTGAACTTAAATTTTGACAACATTAATTAAGGTTTTATATTTATCTTTCGGTATATATAGTAGCAGGTAGCTTGTAAATATTACATTTGATAAAGACACGGTGTTGTCGAAACAATTGTCATGTAAATCTACATATATAATTTCGTGAAAATCTGAACTATTAGTTCTTATTTATTTTGATAATTGGATTTTCATCAAGTAAAAGCCACCTCAGTTCAATTTAAGAGAGTAGAAAAAAAATATTACACAACATTTAATTACCAAGTTCTCCTTTTAAAGGTTCTCGCAGAGAAGTTTCAAATGAAATCAAGTTGCAAAATTTGTGGTATGTGATTTGAAGCGCAAAATTAATGTCAAACTCAAATTATATTTAAATTTATTAAAAAAAAAATTATAATGTATATTCGGCCTATACAAAATCTCGAGATGCGAGTACTGTGATTCTCTCAAGAGGACTTCGCTTTTTAAAGTTATATATTTAATATATTTTATTATAAGAGGATACTTTGTTATTGACAATAACAAACTGTGAATATGTATACTACCTTTCGAATAAAATAGTAACCTACAACACATTATCTTTTAATTTGCAAAAATGGTACGTTATTTTAATATATAGTAAGCCATGACAATGCAGCAATAAGGACAACAAGCCGTATTATGATTCTCTCTTACCAAATGTGAATTTGCATTGTTGTGCTTCAGATTATAAATATATAATATGAAAAAAGAAAGTAAATTTATTCATTCTACGCAGGATTTTAAAAGAAATGCAAAGGAGCTTTTTGTTTCTGTTCATATTTCCTCCCTGTTATCCTGAACACTTGTTTGAAAACGGAAAAGTGATTTTAATCAAAGAATTTTTGTTCACTATTAAAATTTGTTGACTTAACACTGCGACGTCCATATTTAGTTGGCATACTTCACATGCAGCTACGTCCCGAGAGATCTAATAGATGGCGCAGCAAATGCTATTCAGCGACGTTAAGCGTCGCGACGTCGTTTTGCCGCACTGGTGTCGAACTGGTCCACCCTATCGTAACACGGTTGTTTGACACAGTCGCTGGCAAAAATATCAATCGAAATTCTTATATTTTGGAAGTAAGGCGTTGCGTTTATTAATTTATATATCTAAATTGCGCCATTTGTGTCATCGATGACGGGATAAGAACGGCACTCCTACCGCACAAAATAATCGAACTGTGTGTATTGAAAAAAGTGATCGTATTAGTGACAGTTCAGTGTACAATTGTCAGGCTGCTGCTATTACGGCGTCGAACGCTCGCAGATATGCCTGTGAGAAAACAAGGTAAAAAAGCGCTAAATGGGAACACTTCAAACTAAATACCACAACTTGAAATGGTCATGGAAATTTATTTTTGCGTTCGCCTCCAGCGTAGAGGTTGTCGATACCGCGTGCCACTGTCACGGTGCACGTGTTCGTTTTTGGTGGTGGGGATGTAGATTGCTGGGCAAGGGTGTCACAACATTTGGGACCTTGTGCTTTACACGTACTCACCAGGGAGCGATAAATTGGAATTGGAAATGTTGACAGAACCAATCAGAGGGCTCGTTTTGCCGTTTCTAGTGGTAAAACGAAACAGAGTTTAATAATAACAATACAATATTAATAATAAAAGACAATTGATTTTTAGAAAAAGCAAACTAATCTGGATTGTTATCGACTGGCACAGTCTAGCACTACAGAACCAAGACTTTCAAATGATGCTACTTTCTAACTTTGAATTTTCGTGAATATCAAAAACGCCTTAGATAATAGGTTAGAGAAAAAATATTTATAAAAAACATATAATTCTTTTCTATATTTAATTCTCCAAGCGTTTATTTTTTAAGTTTTTAACACATATGTAATGAATTATAATATTTTATTTATCCAAGCTCCAACATTCCTTTTAGCCATTTATAGTTTTTATTTAAAATGTAGAAAATTGTAGAATTTCTCAGCAAATCGAGTTCGTTCATAACAATTTGAAGTGCAGTTTTTAAGTTCTACATTATATAAGCAAAACATTGAGTCATTCGCGCTCCAAAATAAGAAAATTTGTATTTCTTAACAAGTCCTAACTCGGGTGTCTTATGTTAAATTTTCGGCACGTAAGATATCTGTAATAATAAGCCATTTATTACAATCCAAAAATATCAAAGGTTGGCTGAATCGCCAGGCTTGAAGTTATTAATATCCGAGTAGTGGTAGAATCAATTTTCTATTTTAATTTGAAAGTTTTTATATGTTATGGCGCATATTATATTTGGATACGATTTCGCATGCAGAGTATGTTGCGGCAGATAATTTTCGCAATTCTAATAAAAATATTAAACATTATGGCTCGTTCTTAAATATTGTGACGATCCTACTAAATGTTATCGAGTTAAACTGCATTAAACAATCTCCAGAAAAGTCTTAATGACGCATTTCCCCATATTCCCACCAGAATTTCAGGAAATGATAAAATTTTAGAGTAGTAGTTTTTATCTCCAATAAATATTAATGCGAAACTGTCAAAAAATATTGTTTTTAATAATGTAACATTTTTTTGACAAATTATGTTTATATTTATTTAGTTTTGGCTGAATTTGGTTTTGGTTTGCTAGAGTTCTCTGGTAGAAATTTATGTTAATTCTATAGTATTCGCTACTAAAATGATTTTTACTGTTTTAGGATACTTTTGTTTGTCAATGCTGAAAACTAACCAAAAGTAACACTTCTCTAATAAAGAAAATGTTCAAAGTTTCCTTGATTTCTTTAAATCAGAATTCACTTACCTAACCAACAAAGATTTTTGTTTCTTGCACAGGTAACAAAATTATTACTGCCGCAATAAATATTTGTTTACCCATTTTAACACACTGCAGTAAATAAAATACAAGAAAAGACAAGATATGTAAACTTGTAGCAACTGGACAAATTAAAAAAATTAACTATATGTATATTAAGTCTAACACAAAGGTGTTGTGTATAGCATAATAATATATAATAGAACATAATTCAAATCTGCCGTTGTTAATATCTAATGTAAAAATATTTTAAACAAAAAATACTGTCTGTACATTGTTTCTTTTTTTTTTAGCTTCATTTTACCAATCAGTATTCTGGAATATTTAATTGTAAACTCCTCAACTCTTTTTAAGGACCAGTTTAAATTACAAGCGAAGGGTTTGTCATGAGATGAAAAGCTAATTCGAAAAATTAAAGTACGCAAATGAAATCTTTTGGGTTTACGGTTTAGAATAAAGAGAAACATATGGTTGACTGTCGAATGTCATTTGTAACAAATTCTTGAGGGGTGACATGTTAAAATTTCTTGGTGTTAATTCGATGGACGTTCAACAATTTTTTGAAAAGCGTTTTTAGAACATCCTTACAATAAAACAAGCAAACTGCATTTCCGAGAATGCCTTTAGAGGTCAAATTCGTGCTATAATAAACTGGATGAATGGACCAGAAAAGTAGGGCATACTATGTGTTGTCTCCGTAGTTGACTTCCAACTGATAAGAGCTTCCTATTGTTACGGCCGCTTATCTCAAATTAAAAGCAAAACTCGCGGTTGTACGGGGCCTTTGAGTTTCCCTTCGTAAATAGGGTAAATTTCGGAATGGCAATAGTTTTGATTGAATTGTCCTTTGCCGCAATTCCATTCGAGACGCTTGCTTTTGTCATGCCATGTGTTGCGTTTCTCTTCGGTCTTCCTTCGGTTTTATTATCGCGAAAAATGTCGAAGCAAACTCCGTTTCAGAAAATTTCATTGACAACTATACTATAGATCAGTGTGTAGGCAGTAAATGTATAGGTGTAATGATAATGAAGTTTTGTATTTGATTTGAACCAGTAGATACTTATGCAGAATTTAAAAACTATATTTTTGTTGTTAACTGTCCTAAATTTAAAATTAATTGTCCGTCGTAAAATTTGCATACATTTTAGTCACGGCTTTGATTTATTGCCTGAAGAAGTTCAATAAAAGTGTTGCATACTATACTTTTTCTACGAGCTTTAACTTTTGGGTACATTTTTGCAAAACAGCAAGAATACATTCACTCAGTGACATGAGGGTCAGAATTGAATTCGATTCATTACTCTAAAATATCCAATTATGCAACGATCAAGTGTACGGAAACTGTCAGTTTAAGTCGTTAGCTTCGTTAGCCGCCTCGGACTTTGCCGGTACTTTAGTCGTGGGTTTGGGAGCGACGTTGGCTACGTTACGGTACGTAAAAATATTCTTCAATTATATTTTTTATTTTTTCACGCCATTATGAACATTTAATTTTTTATCCAGATTTTGCCGCATTTACTTCAAAAATTTTCAAGACCGCATTTAAAATTAAGTCAGCATAATTTATACCCACTCATTCCATTAAAAAATGGTTTGAGTTGGCGTCATCTAGAATGTCAACATGTCGACGTGTTGTAGATATAGACAAAATTATGAAATTCATACCATATATAAGAATATACACAGCGGAATAGTAAAATGAAAAAATATTTTATTCAAGAATATTTTAAATTAAAAATATCGCCAAGAAAAATGCGAACTAAACTAACTGTATCAATAAATCAAAACTTTGCGTAATAACGCGACGGGTCATAAATTTACAACCCTGGTGCACATAAAGGATCTTTCGGATTTCAATCAATTTCAACGTAACAACAAAAAAATCTAATTAAGACGACAATCTCGTTAAAATTCGCAACGAACTAATAAAAACTTAATCAATTTTTAACGAGGAGCTCAGTTCCTTCAGCTTCTGAAAATCTAACAAAGCATTCCGGATCGATATGAAATTTCCCCCGAATGGTAAAACAAAAGTTCGGAGAGTTTAGTCAAAACAATTAACATCTAAAGTTCCTTCTCTAACAGATCTTGTTCCAGTTCATAAATACGTTATTGACACAGGATCCGAATTATATCCCGACCCATTCGGATACCCCTAGTCCCTTGTTCCGATATTAGATTTTCCTCTCATATTACTAGACCATGCTCGAAGCTTACGTATTTGGACCTTAAAGGAATGAGCCGAATCTATTAATAATACTGCAATTAAATGGAACATAACCTTAGATAATCATTAATCTGAATAATTTATGTTTCTTGCAGTAAAATAGGTCGGGAGTGGACAAGCTAATTTATTCTTTGACGAAAATTTAGGTGTTTAAGTTAAAAAAAACATTTTCTTTCAAACTTGCGTTACAAACCATAGATTGAATTAGCTGAATCATGCACTTACAGTGTTCGCTGATTTTGCATTCCCAATTTAGTTAAAAAAAAAACGCAAAAAATAGGTCTGGAAGTCATTTAAAGGAGTGTAAACTGAAACAGCTCTATTGATGTTGGTGTTATTATCATTATTACCTTATCACCTTTAAAACAACTTTGTATTTTGCATTAGTTTCTGTTCTGGTGAATGGTGTAGTTAAAGGAATTAACGGGATTGCAAATAAAAGATTCAGAAGCCGCACAAGCGGTGCACAAAACGAAGGGCTCAGCACAGACTATATTTTTTATATGTAATCGACATAACCTTAGATTAAGTAAACCAAAGAACAAGTAAAGGTTACATACGCTTCAACAGTTTCTTATGCAATTAACGCTGTAGCAGTTTCGAAAAATGTGTGGACAAGGGGGTTTTCTCTGTACTTAACCCAAAGATTATTTCATAATCCCACCGAACATAAAGTTGTATAGTCATTTTGATTGTTTCAAGGAAAACGTAGTGGAGTAGTTTTTAAAAGTTTGTTCTGGCAAGGAAATTAATGTTTTGTGATTTACATCAAGAACAAGTGGAAATAAGTTAAAATATAGCGAAGCCATAAGAAAAACTACCACACCGTTTTGTGCAACGCGCAACGAATTTATGAGTTCTTATATTTTCATTTCTTTATTAAATTTTGCAGGATCTACATTCATAATTTCAGAAGGACCAAATTTCCACATGTTAAACTTAGTAATATAATATTATTTTACTAAGAACTAATATAGCAAAAATAAAATCTAAATATTTTAAATAATGGAATGAAAAAAGATATATCAACCGACAATATCCGTTTTACATTAAGAAAATGTATATGCAACATTTAGCACGTACACATCTTTAGTATTTTAACTGGAACGCCCTGTATATTTATTACGTTTTCCTATAAGACACTAATATCCTTTCGCCGTGAATCACGCTGTGTATATAAAATGAACGTCTAAAATGAAGTTTTTTGTACAAAATTCAAATTTACAGCAAAACATCAGGTTGCAGTAAGTTTATTTGTTTCATAATAAATTTGTGAAATTTTAAGC